CACGTCAAGGACATGAAAGCTAATGATTCCTATCAACTCTTCCGAGAGTACGAGGTGAGAAAGCACACTGTTCCAGGGTTAGGCCACAGTCCAGGGCTTCTGCAAGTTGAGGCCAGTCTCGCCAATGGTATTGTTTTGATGTGTCTCACTGAGCTTGTAGGTGTGCATCGACTTTTATGTTGTACATGCCACCGATATCCATAGGCGGTGTACATCATCTGTCCTAGAGTCCTGCATACCAAGTTTTTGCTACATGTTTTGCCGTCGCGAGCAGTTTACATGTGTGTCTGTTTGTGTTTGTGTGTGTGTGTGTGTGTGTGTGTGTGTGTGTGTGTGTGTCTGTGTGTCTGTGTGTCTGCCTGTCTGTCTGTCTGTCTGTTTGTGTGTGTGTGTTTGTGTGTGTATGTCTGTTTGTGTGTGTATGTCTGTGTGTTTGTTTGCATGTGTGTGTGTGTTTGTGTGTCTGTGTGTTTCTGTCTGTTTGTGTGTGTGTTTGTGTGTGTTTGTGTGTGTATATGTGTGTTTATATGTCTGTGTCTGTGTCTATGCATGCACATGTTTGCACGTGTGCTGTCTTGGTATATTCCCGCGTCTTATTCAGACCATAACGAAGACGTCAGAGTCTCTTCCTGCGGATGTTTGTATGAATCCAGAGAACAAGCCGAAGAATCGCTATGCCAATATTGTGGCATGTAGGTCGTGTGTAAAAAGAAATGAGATCATACAGTGGACAGTGATTGCGTGTACAGTCCATTCATTGGAAACTGGCACCCTAACTTTTTGGTGTCTCTCTTACATAGTTGTAGATATCGTGAAAACAACAGTACATCCTGCATTGTGTGACCCGTGCAATTACTCCTTGCCACATTTGAAGCCAGAAAAGTCCAAGAATAGGGATTCGAAATAGAAATTCAGCCAAGTTTTACAAAATTAGGAGAGGTATGCCATGGCAAAATGTATGGAGAAGCAGATCCAAAACCCAGATTTTTGAGATTTAAAGTGGGTTTTTGATCCTCAATTCGGCCCAAATCCGACTTTCAAAAGCCAGCGGGCCAGTTTCCGATGAATGGACTGTAGTGATTCTTATCTGTCATCTTGCATTCTGATGAGTTGGACGTGGTGGTGCAATGTACTGATATCATGCAACGCTGTAGTTGACGCTTCTCTAGATTATTTCAATCATCAAGAGAGGAGTCGAATACAATGAGAAAGACTATGGAACACCTAGCTTTTGCGCAGTCCGTACTGCTAATGCCTTCCCCTTCCCTGCACCCTTCATGCACATACCTACAATGTGATCACTGTTCCTCTTATTTCTCGAGGCACTCATAAATGTCGCTACTTCTGTTTTTACTGTGCGTACGTCTGCACTGCCCATTTGACTGCAGTTGATCACACTCGCGTCATTCTGCCACAAATCGATGGAGACAGCAACTCCGACTATATCAACGCAAATTACCTCGACGTGAGTGTCTATTGGTGGTAGCTAGGTAGAATATGGTAGTAGCTAGGTAGGACATGGTGGTAGCTAGGTAGAACATGGTGGTTGCTAGGTAGGACATGGTGGTTGCTAGGTAGGGCATGCCGTGGTAGCTAGGTAGAACGCGGTGGTAGCTAGGTAGAACATGGTGGTTGCTAGGTAGAACGCGGTGGTAGCTAGGTAGAGCATGGTGGTAGTTAGCTAGGTGGAACATGGTGGTATAATATTCGCGGGATCCGCGTTAGCATCACTTGAATGTTCAGAAACACACAAGCTATAGCCTTCGCTTCCGCAGGCCACCACTATGCCTTTACACCTTAGTGGCGAATGCAGACGTCACAAGTGAGTCAGGGGAGAGGAGGTGAGTCTCTCAACCAATCGGACGTGTAACGGCCCATAACCCTGTAAACTGCATCCTTGTTATCCTCACTCCGAGCTGTGAGTACCCAGTTGACCGTGGGTGTCGGCGCAGTTCAACACGCGTAAAAAGTCTTTTTACACGCTCCCTGCTGCCAGCGCGGGTCTCGAACTCGGGACCTCATGATTCGCAGGCAGGCCTGCAAACCAATCGGCCATATGCGTTGGAACATGGTGGTAGCTAGATAATACACGGTGGTAGCTAGGTAGAACATGGTGGTAGCTAGGTAGAACATGGTGGTTGCTAGGTAGAACATGGTGGTTGCTAGGTAGAACATGGTGGTTGCTAGGTAGAACATGGTGGTTGCTAGGTAGAACATGGTGGTTGCTAGGTAGAACATGGTGGTTGCTAGGTAGGACATGGTGGTTGCTAGGTAATACACGGTGGTTGCTAGGTAGAACATGGTGGTTGCTAGGTAATACACGGTGGTAGCTAGGTAATACACGGTGGTAGCTAGGTAATACACGGTGGTTGCTAGGTAATACACGGTGGTAGCTAGGTAGAACACGGTGGTTGCTAGGTAGAACATGGTGGTAGCTAGGTAATACACGGTGGTAGCTAGGTAATACACGGTGGTAGCTAGGTAATACACGGTGGTAGCTAGGTAATACACGGTGGTTGCTAGGTAATACACGGTGGTAGCTAGGTAGAACATGGTGGTTGCTAGGTAGGACATGGTGGTTGCTAGGTAGAACATGGTGGTTGCTAGGTAGAACATGGTGGTAGCTAGGTAGAACATGGTGGTTGCTAGGTAGAACATGGTGGTTGCTAGGTAGAACATGGCAGTGCTTGTTTTGTGTTTACTTTACTGCGCTTGTAGTGCGTCTGGTGATGTCATAGAGCATGTACAGTATTTTATTTATTTTATTTTATTCCAAGCAATACATGGCTGGGGTAGCCATATATGGTGTACGATACACAATGCACATGACTGGGAAGAGATAGAACATCAGCAGTGGAATCTCCAATTTCTCTGTTCCCACTGACATGTATTTATTACAAAGCGGTCATGTTGATGGTTGTTTGGGTGCATTCTGTCATTCACGTCGGTATTGCCGCATGGCCGGTCTAATCTTATTCAGGCTTGTTCTTAGTAAAGGCTCACAAGAGCATCCCTGGAGTCCTCAAGGGTAGTGACGGTAGGTATTAAAACATACTATCTTATTAAGTTATTATCTCTAAGTTGTCCTGTATTCATTTTTGCTCTTCATCTTCATGCTCTTTCTGCTCTTCTTGTTCACTCCTGCTCCTCTTGCCCAGGGTTACAACTTCCCGCAGGAATACATTGCATCACAAGGTGAATTGAAGTGTGGCTTGTGTGCTTGCAGTTAGAAAATCATTGGCCTGTTGTCCTCCACACACCGACACTGCCTGCCCTATATCTTCATGGGCATGGAATACGAGTCATCGTCTTCAATACAGTAGTGCCTGTGACATGTGTCCTTGATCATTGCAGACTGTGTTTTGTTCAGTTGTGTACTGCACTGAAAGAGTATACTATGGTCATTACCTTGATCGTAAATGAAGTTGAAGTTGATCCCTATCCTGTACTCGAGTAGCTGAGAACACGATAATGTGGAATGCAAACCAGCAATATTGATTGTACATGTACATGTGTGCGTGTGTGTGTGTGTGTGTGTGTGTGTGTGTGTGTGTGTGTGTGTGTGTGTGTGTGCATGTGTGTGTGTGTGTGTGTGTGTGTGTGTGTGTGTGTGTGTACATGTGTGTGTGTGTGTGTGTGTGTGTGTGTGTGTGTGTGTGTGTGTGTGTGCGCATGTGTGTGTGTGTGTGTGTGTGTGTGTGTGTGTGTGTGTGTGTGTGTGTGTACATGTGTGTGTGTGCGTGTGTGCATGCGTGCGTGCTATGTCTATCCATTGGCAATAGGTCCGAATGCAAAATCCATCAATGACTTCTGGAGAATGGTTTGGTACAAGAAGTGTCGTACTATCGCCATGGTTACAAACCTGGTAGAGCGAGGACGGGTAGGTCCTGTTAAGGGTTGATAGCATGTCAGTGTGTATATTGCATTGCAATGTCTTGGTTACGTGCAGTGTTGCACTTTCACCCCTCCATCACATCAGATGGATGAGATGAAGACTCTTTGAAGAGTTTCACCCATTGCAATTATGGCGCATGTGCTTGTTTGTGTGTGTGTGTGTGTGTGTGTGTGTGTGTGTGTGTGTGTGTGTGTATGTGTGTATATGTGTGTGTGCATGTGTGTGTGTGCGTGCGTGCGTGTATGTGGGTGGGTGTGCGTGCCTGCGTGCACGTGCGTGCCTGCGTGTGTGTGTGTGTGTGCGTGCGGGTGTGTGTGTGGTGTGTGTGTGTGTGTGTGTGTGTGTGTGCGTGCGTGCGTATGTGCGTGTGTGTGTGTGTGTGTGTGTGTGTGTGTGTGTGTGTGTGTGTGCGTGCGTACGTGCGTGTGTGCGCGGGTGCATGTGCAGGATAAGTGCAACTTGTACTGGCCAATGAAAGGAGCTGTGCCTTACGGGGAGTTCAGTGTGGAGTTGCTGGATACGATGACACTGAGCGACTTTGTGATACGTACTTTCAAAGTGACTAAGGTGAGCTTACCACATTTCACCTTTTTTCAGACTGTCACTTCCAATCCGACCAGGTAGTATTGCCAACCTTGTCACGGTTGTTGTTGTTGTTGTTGTTGTTGTTGTTGTTGTTGTTGTTGTTGTTGTTGTTGTTGTTGTTGTTGTTGTTGTTGTTGTTGTTGTTGTTGTTGTTGTTGTTGTTGTTGTTGTTGTTGTTGTTGTTGTTGTTGTTGTTGTTGTTGTTGTTGTTGTTGTTGTTGTTGTTGTTGTTGTTGTTTGCTTACTCCACTACATTACACTGTCCTCTTGACTGACTGACTGACTGACTCACTGGACCTGGCTCATTCACCAGACTTGGTTGACGCACTTGCCTCAATGATCCCCTTGCTTCCATGTGAGTGGGCTTGTCGCCCATTTGCTCTCGCAAGTTTGAATACGTCTTAAGTACAGGAATGCATGCACTCATCAGACGTCCCTATCCGCTCAGACTTGGCTGGCCCGTAACCGGACGTCTACAGTGTACTGTTCTACACGTAGATTGATCTAACTCTCCATAGTGCCTGCCCCACCTGCCTGGCGCTACTGCTGTTGTAGTAGCAACGGAATCCTCTCCTGAGTCTTTTTCACCAGTGTGGGGGAGCTGAAAAGGGAAAAGTCTCGAGAGCAAATTGACGGCCACCACCATGACTCAAACCGGGGACATTTGTTAGAGTATAGCCCAGTGATACTCTGTCCACTAAGCCATGATGTGGTGATCCAAACAGAGACCCACCAACATGTTCTTCGGACAGTGAACATCCTCTTTGTTTTTTTCTTTCATGTGTGTGTTTTTTCTCTCTTGTGTGTGTGTTGGGGGGGGGGGGGATGCAGGAGACTGGCTGCAGCGAGGAGGAGGTGAGACGCGGCATGAACGTGCGCGAAGTTCGTCAGTTCCACTTCACGGTGTGGCCCGACCATGGCGTTCCAGCTCATGCCACTCCGCTGATCAACTATCTGAAGCGTCTCAGAGCCTACCACCCCATTGATCACAAGCCGCAAGTCCCCATCATAGTGCATTGCAGGTATGGGGTCAGGGTCACTTCTCTTTCTTAGCCCAGCAAGTGGGCCTCTACACTGCCAGTTCAGTATACATTACCCTGTATTCTGCATCCACCAAGCATGCATAGACCTGTGTGTAAATTATCGTGTCCGTTCCCCAAGGGAACTCACGACGGCCGCTAACACCCGGTAAACCCTAGCGGCAGATTCAGCGCCTAACGGTGGGGGTGAGTGGATAAGTCTCACAACAACTGGCACGAGTGCCGAAAAACCCTATTAGCCGCATCCATGTACCCCTTGTGCCTGGCCACAAGTTCCCAGTTGACTGTGGGTAGCAGCACGGCTTGAAAAACTGTCCCAGGCAGGACTTGAACCAGGTACCTCTCGTATCTCAATCATGGTCTTTGACCAACCCACTGTGCCTGCCTGGTAGATGTACATAAAGGCTGTTTGAAGCCTGTACTATCGTTGTAGCTGAGATTATCTACACAGCAAGGATAGAGGAACGGACCGCTACAACTCCATTGGCACGTAACATACCTTGCTTCAGGTGGATTGTATAGTACTGGTATATGACTTGTCGACCACATTGCTGATTAATGCATGTCTCCACTGGATAGCCAGTCTTGCTCTGATTATAGTGTGTGGATGTGTGAAAGCACATTTCTTTGTGCGTGGATGTGTGTGTGTGTGTGCGTATGTGTATATGTGTGTGTATATGTGTATGTGGTGTGTACACACATGTGTGTATGTATGTGTGTATGTATGTATGTGTATGTTTGTGTATGTGCATGTGGTTGTTTTGACAGCGCTGGCGTTGGTCGTACAGGAACACTTGTAGTGCTGGACATGATGCTAAACAGGGCGATGGCAGAAGAGTCTGTCGACGTCTTCAACTGTGTGACAAGACTGCGACAGCAGCGTAATCACATGGTCCAGACAGAGGTAGGCACTATGCAGCAGTGACCTGTTGGGTACTGTAACTCAACTGACACCGGGATAATGACTATGTCATGCCTTGTTCCCGTTACCTGTCCTGTATGCCGTTCACATCCACACACACATGCACACCAACACACACACGCACGCACATACACATACACACACACACACACACACACACACCTTGAACCTTGAACGCCCATTGCCGTAGCAATGATAGCGATGGCTTCCTCACGCTGAGGCTCTAAACTCGAAATCTGCAGTATGGCGCATGCCGCTTGAGGTCACCAGGACACACACACACACACACACACACATACACACACACACACACATACACATGTGCACAATACATGTACAACACAATACCATACAATATGCCCATCTGGAGATCAGAGCAGGTCCCAAAGGGACCAACAGTGTTCAAATTACGAGCAGAATCGGGCATGGCGAGCCAAGTCCTGGCGCCGGCGATATCTCTTTCCACAACTGAAAACGATGTCTAAGGTGACGGGCTCGGTTGGAGGGATGCCGGGTGTTGCATGCTGTTTGTTCCCACTCTCTGCGATCCTGGGCGAGGTCATACCAGTCCACCATCGGACGGTCCTTCATGTCAGACACAACATCGTCCAGCAACCGCTTCCGAGGCCCATGACGTGGCCGAGTCTTCTCCAGTTTGCCGAAAAGGACGCACTTTGGCATACGAGAGTCATCCATTCGAGCAACATGGCCTAACAAACTGAGTCAACGCGTTTTCAGTGTCTCCTCAATTGGCTGCAGCTTGGCTCGTTCGAGGAGAGTGGAGTTGAAGATGTGCTCCTTGTTACGGAATCACATCCATTTCGTTCCCCGGGACGCAGGACACAAAGGACAAGACTAGTTTGTGTTACATTATTTATATTGACCAGACGGAAAAGCAAACTGCTCTGACAGAAACGAACATGAAGACTGACAAAAGGACTCTTGACTACGAAATCGCGCATGCTCATATCACGCATGCACGCGACTAGACGAGACAGTTTGGGGAATGCCATCACACAGGAAAACAGCACATCATTTCACCACATCCTGCCATTGTGTTACTCTGGAAATGTCCAGCAGGAAGCGAACACAGTGGTGGTGAAATGATGCAAGCCGACGAACACCCGCAGCCACACCTTTTGACCATTTGACACCCATCGCCGGAGGCGATGATAGGGATGCTACAGCAGAAGCCCGGCATAGCAACTTGTGCTGGGATTGCACCATTCAACAGCTTGCAAGGCTGAATAATTGACCGCCACTATTCAGCCTGGTCCACACCACACAGCTATTTGAAGTGGCATTTTCTGGCCGGTGAATCCCTACTTTTTGGTCTTTTTCATGTTTTTCCCGCACACATCACACCACACACTCCGGCATGCACTGGCTGTTGGTAAATGAAAGACTGAAATGAGAATGAAAGAAAAGTCTGGAGGAGTCTGAGAAAGAGAAGAAAAATGCCTGTGACCATAATCGTCGGGAATTGAACCCGCAACCTCTCGATTGGAAATCAACTGCACATACCACTGCACCATCTGGGACACACCATCACACACGCACGCACACACGCGCACACTTGTGGGTGCTACACGTAGGCTCTTCGTTGCCATTACGTGAGGGTGGATTAGTCAGCTTCTGAGGGCTTGATCATTGCACCTGAAGATGGTCTTATGTTGTTTGGTTGGACATACACTGTTCAAGCACATCAGTACGGATCATTGCATCAAACATGCTTCTCTTCTACAGGCTCAGTACATTTTCATTCATGATGCCCTGCTGGAAGCATTGCAACTGCGTGATACCGAGGTATCTGCAACTGCACTCCGATTGTACATCAAGAAGCTAAACATTGCAAAAGACGGCGAGAAACCGGCAGAGAGCCAATTCAAGGTAAGATCTGAGTGAGGTTGTCCCCCCCCCCCCCCACACACACACACCATAGTGGAAGCCTATGGTAAACATGATCTATATACTGACTGCTATATTGATTGCTGCTGTCAAAGTCATCCCTATGAGTACACTTGATGTTTATCAAAGTTATCGATGTATCGCTTTTCATCTTCCAATGCTCCTGTGGGTCTGTCAAAGTCAATGCAACTATTTCTGTGTATTTTACATTGTCAGAAACTGAATGGAGGTCTACAGGGCACAATCAACTGTCGCTCGGCTGTGCAACAGTGTAACACTCTCAAGAATCGTCTCTCTAACATCTTGCCATGTAAGCGCATGTAGTTACACAGTCCGATTCTCTGCCCCATTGCAACTGTACCTGGCCACCGCCTTGTGTTCATAGTGTGTGCCCAGCATGGCATAGTAATAATGCCTTGCTATTTTCTCTCTATGTGGGATCCAAGGAGAAGTGAAATGGAATCACAGACCCCAAGCCAGTAACATGCATTGGACCTAGAAAGAAAGGCCTATACCAGGAGGAAGCCGGTCTTTAGGAGTGTGCGAGAGACAGATGAAGAGAGAGAGAGAGAGAGAGAGAGTGAGAGAGGTAGGGGGGGGGGATAAAAAGAGAAATGAAGACGGAGAGGTTGAAGCAGAAGCTAACAAGTGGGATGTCCTGTTCTTCCGACTTCTACTTTGTCACCTACACCAGAGCTCATGCTGTCTGGGTTGTTCCTGACTTGAGATGTGTGAATTGTGTTTGCAGACGAGCAGTCACGTGTTAAGCTCTACCAGCAACCTGGTGTTGAAGGCTCTGACTATATCAATGCAAGCTTCATCGACGTGAGTCCTAAAATAACAACCCATGGGATGCAGGATTGCCGCCGTAGTGTTTCCCCGCTGTTAAGACGGATTGCTGTTGATGCTTGGCGTATCGGCTTCTGGGGGGTCAGAGCTGCACCAGAACTTACCACACACACACACACGTCTCTTGAAGGAGAAACGTCACATGTCAGCATTTGTTTGCACTTCTACAGTCCATTTCAAAACTATAGACGCGTACCTAGGCAAAAACCGTTATGCCAGCATCTATACCACATAAAATCTGTGATCACTTTGTGCATAAATTTTTCCAAATTGGGCGTCTGTTATCCAATCCTTTAGAAACTATATGAGAGTAATCCGCGATATTCATGTTAAAACAAAATGGCGTCACGATTTATTGAAAGTGGTATAGTTGGTGGTACGAGTGTTCAAAACCATTTGAACTTCATACTGTTGGTCTTCTTTTTGACATGCTCTCTTTCCATCGTCCTTAGCTTTTGTTCGTTGAGAGCTGTTTTGGCTTTCTCCTATACCTCTGGGGTATGCCAAGTGATGGTTTTGAGAGGCTGGTGATGGCTGTGAGCGAGAGTTTGCCGATCGGCGTCGTCCTCGCTATAGCGATGAAAATACTAGTTACTGCGCACCTGGCAGATATCACAACACGTCGGAGCGTCCAGGAGCAAAGGAATCTTGGGTTTTCACTGGAATCTACAGTTGTGGCAAGTGAAATCCGACACTTGGCATAAGGGACTGCACCGTGCATCCTGCAGCCTCTGCAGCCCTGCATACGTACAGTACATGTGTTGCATACAACTTTATCTGTCTGATGACAGAATTCGTACTCATCACAGTCAAGGTTCAAAAGGTGCTGGCAAAAATGACTGGGAATTGGATACCAATACTCCTTATGTGTACCATGTTTGTGAACTGTGTGTATCTAAGCTGTGACCTTTCGACCTGTTTGGGATGCATGCGGCTCTATAGTACAAATTAGGTGCAGTGCATTACATCATTGATGTCCATTTGAGGCGCTGTCCCCTATGGCAAGTGTCGGATTTCACTTGCCACAACTGTAGTTCCTCCAGGATCGTGTAGCCCACCGTAAGTGAATGGCGGTCCAGAAAGGTCGAACCTGGTCTTCTGCAGCATCTCGCAGTCCTGCGAGGCACACTGAATACGCCTGTCATGTATTCTACAAATAAAAATCACGAAGTAGTGGACTTTACAGTGATGAGTCTATCCTGTATGCTGCAAAAGACGCAGGAAATGTGACTGGTGTCTGTACACTCAGTGACTGGACGCCAACACCCCAGTCTTCTCCTGCAGGATCTGTTTGACATTGACATTATGCAGTAGGTCGGGATGGACCTGGTTTGGCAGCTATCGTAATAGTATCTGCCTGGTTGGATGTAGCAGGTTGGTGATTGCTCGTCGTCCAGTCCGGAATTTTCTTGTAACTCGCGGTGGAGTACGCGCAGGGTTTGTGATCATCCCTGTTCACTTCAATATTATCAAACACAACGTTCCCTTTGTCACTCATCTTATCCTGAGTACTGAATTTGCTGACAATATTGCACCACCGTGACTTGTCACAACCTACCGCCACTGCTGGCGGTGGCGACTGGTTCGTCAATGGCGGTGACCAGGCTGACTGACTAGCTTCGAGACAGCGGCCTCGTTGTCAACCCCGCGGCAGCCTAAAGGTTGATTTTATCGATCCAGCCTCAGCGCCATGTTGACGATGCCCTAGTGACTGTGTGTCATGGATTGCCTTGCCATCAGCGGTCATTGCCGTCCACCTTGATGCAGCCCTCAACAACTGGCTCAGCCCATGGGAGTCTCAAGTGGACAAAGTTGTTGCCAAAGTAGCTCAGAAGATTGGTGCATCGTGGTGTAGGTGAGCACATAACTAGGACTTCCCAGCGCCTATTTGTCCAGGCTGCGATACTATGTGACATGCTGTACTGCACATTCTTTTCAGCACTGCAAGGCTGGCAGCTGGACCGACTGCAGGGGCCGCGCACATGCAGGCCGCCTGTTGCCAGTGCAGCATTCTGGAACGTTCCTTCCTTCTGAGATCCGTGGAATAATAACTTTCTTTGCTTCAAAGCAAGTTGCTTACCTTTCTGTTGTGCTCCCAGTGTCCTTACAACAATAACCTACAGCAATGTTTTATTTTCCTTTCCATTCCCCAACCGATGAATACTATGATGTCGATTCTATTTCTTCATACTTTGGTGTGTGCCCGCGCACGCACGTGTGTGTGTGTATACCTCACTCGCCACTCGAAGTTCTGTTCCCCATCACTGGAACACTGCCTGTTCTTTCAGGACCTGCCATCATCTGCAGAAGGGCATTCAATGATTGTATTGTGTGTGTGTGTGTTTCATTCAGAATCAGATCCGCTATCGTTGCTATAAGAGAAAATCTGTGGGTTCACATCCAGTGCATTTTTAGTTTTGCGTGCTTTTCTCGCCACGGGCGCATACATGGGACATTGTGTGTGTGTGTGTGTGTGTGTGTGTGTGTGTGTGTGTGTGTGTGTGTGTGTGTGTGTGTGCGTCTGTGTGTATGGGGATATTGTCTGTATCGGCTTTTGGTACTAATGTTCAGGTCTGTGCTTGCATGTGTGAACATGAAATTGTTCGGTTCTGTGCATGCTATTGCTATGTTGTATATTATTGTATGTATGTGTGCATTTCCACGAACAGTGTAGACGAGCGTGGAGAGTGCATTCATCCCTCATCAACCACTTCCCCTTGGGCTTACGACTACGAGAGTTTTTTCTGCGTACCTCTCATTTTTGTTTGTTTCTCTCTGATACTGTATTGATGCCGGTACCTGTACCTCGATGTGTTCCTCTATCTGCAGTCGCCTTTAACCTTCGGTCAAGTTAACGTTTATTGTGCTCTAGTTATCGTGCGAATCAAAATGAACAATAATAACACAAGTCGTGCTAGAGTGACGACATGTGCGTGTAGTAGGGTTGATGCGATGGGACGTTATAATTAGGTGGAACAGAACACACATTGGGCAGATTGATTGGGCATCATTGATTGTGCTCAGTCTAAACAGTGAACATAATAATTATCTCCAGTGACAGACTGTAGCGGCTAGCCTCCAATAGGTAGCTGGCACTAGTCGCTACTGCTTGTTTGACAGGTGCCGCCAGAACCCCTGTTGTGTCATGCCATAGATGCACATGCCCTGTTCTGGGGCATACTGAGGTACTTTGATTTTGTTGACTGCATGTAGACAGCATCCAATAGTAGTACTCGTAGACCTTGGCTCTTTGTAGGTCAACCACCATCGCATGGATCGATCGGTGACTATGCACTTGGAGCTTGGAATAGCCCGCCCTGAACAGATCTTGCCATGGCCCAGGGAGTGAACTCGCTTACTCGACTATCCCGGTTTTAGTTAACCAGCATGAGTGGTGCAATTTGTCCATACCATGTTGCGAGCTCACAGTTGTTTGGGCAGGTTTTGAGCTGCACCACCGTGACGAAACAAAGCGAAATAACGGCGTGACTGTAGAGCAAGGAAGCGGCGAGACGGCACTTCCAGGACGAGACAGGCAGTAGAGATGTGTTCACAGCACGAGCAACCTCTCAAACCCTGCCGGTACTCCACAGTTACAAGAAAATCGGACTGGACGACGCGCCAATGCAAACCTGCTACATCCAACCAGGCAGATAGCTGCCAAACCAGGCCAATGTCGACCCACTGCATACCGGTATGTCAATGTCAAACAGATCCTGCAGGAGAAGACTGGGATGATATTGGCGTCCAGTGTACGGACACCAGTCACATTTCCTGCGTCTTTTGCAGCATACAGGATAGACTCATCACTGTAAAGTCCACTACTTCGTGATTTTTATTTGTAGAATACATGACAGGCGTATTCAGTGTGCCTCGCAGGACTGCGAGATGCTGCAGAAGACCAGTTTCGACCTTTCTGGACCGCCATTCACCGACGGTGGGCTACACGATGCTGGAGGAACTAGATTCCAGTGAAAACCCAAGATTCCTTTGCTCCTGGACGCTCCGACGTGTTGTGATATCTGCCAGGTGCGCAGTAACTAGTATTTTCATCGCTATAGCGAGGACGACGCCGATCGGCAAACTCTCGCTCACAGCCATCACCAGCCTCTCAAAACTATCACTTGGCATCCCCCAGAGGTATAGGAGAAAGCCAAAACAGCTCTCAACAAACAAAAGCTAAGGACGATGGAAAGAGAGCATGTCAAAAAGAAGACGAACAGTATGAAGTTCAAATGGGTTTGAACACTCGTTCCACCAACTATACCACTTTCAATAAATCGTGCCGCCATTTTGTTTTAACACGCATACGGTCCATTGTGGAGCGATCCTGAGCAATATTCCGAAAACTATTCTCAAAAAGTTCCAGCCAAATTTGAAATATTTCAAAAACCCTACGCGTCTATAGTTTTGAAATGCACTGTAAGTACCGTTTGAAGTACATAGTATGTAGATAGGTGGTCACCATGTGCTTATAGACTGCAGCAGGAGTGGTTTGAGCCAGGTTTCTCATGTAAATTGAGTGTGCCGCCTGGGCCTGACCACCGAGAATATGGTAGTTTTTTGTGTTCAATCAGGTGGTTCTTGAAAACCGAATATCGTTACCTCTTGGGAATGCATGTTTGCAACAATCTGATTATTTCAATCTGAATCCCGACTATCACAAGGCAGAATGCCGTAATACTTGGAATCCCTTTTCCGATGATTCAGTTCAACAATGACTGCTATGGTATACTGGTACTTTACTTGGCCAATACTTGTAGACATCTAACTGTGTTTGTATTGGGTGGTTCAGGGCTACTGCTCCGCGAGAGCTTTCATCGCTACACAAGGTCCGCTGACAGAGACGATAAGTGATTTCTGGACAATGGTGTGGAAGTACGAAGTCACCTCCATTGTCATGCTGTCGCATTGTAAAGAAAGAGGCCAGGTGTGTGGAGATCTTTCTCTCTTTTTCTCTCTTTCTCTCTCTCTCTCTCTCTCTCTCTCTCTCTCCTCTTGCTTTTTCCCCTCTCTGTCTTCTTCTTTCTCTCCTTTCTCTCTCTCTCCTATCTTCTCTCTCTCTCTCCTCCCTCCTCCCCCCCCCCTCCCCCTCTCTCTCTCACTCACTCACTCACACACACACACACACACACACACACACACACACACACACACACACACTCTCTCTCTCTCTCTCTCTCTCTCTCTCAGCCCAATGTTTTGCCGTGACCCGAGGCACTGTTATCATGACATTTCAATTGTCAGTATCTACACGTTTCTACCGGTAGTCTGGGTTGACCGATACTGGCCTAATCACGCTAATGACTATCATTGCTGGCTTATCACACATCTCTATCAACCACCAAGGAAATCGCAAGTACTTTCTGCGTGGTGGACTCAACTATATGCTAGAGTGTGTAGAAGAGAGATGGCAACAAGTAAGCTCTGTAGCAATGTCATGGTTGACTTCTTTGCAGCGCTTTCATACAAACTACAATACTATTCATTGGTTGTGTAAAACTTATCGTCGGTGTTGTTCACTATCGTTGTATGGCTGGCTGCACTGCAGGAGCACAGTGCCGAGTATTGGCCAAGCAAGGAGAAAGAGCCGGTACGCTTCAATCACCTACTTGTGAAGCTGGAAGACGAGACTGTTTGCAACTCTACTGTCATTCGTAACTTCACCATCACAGACACTAAAGTAAGTGCTAAGCCATGTGCACCTACCCCTCCCCCGCACGTTTCTCTGGTAATGACCTGCTCATTATACTGGTCCTAAGGATGCCAATGTTGAAATTTTATTTTCTGATACATGGTGTGAGATTGCAGTGTGACTGACGTTGCGTTTGGTTGGGCATTTTCAGAATGTAAATGACAACCATTCTGGAATGGGAATGGATAAGGATCACCTGACCAAACAAACGCGCCAGAATCAACTAGGAATCACTTGACATAACAATTCCATGATGTTGTTGTGGAACGGCAGCTCTCTGCTCTTTTACCTGCCTCTAATTTCCTTGAGAGAGTCAAGGTACTGCTGAGTGCATGATTTGAGGCACTTCAACCTGTTGCTACATTGTTTGGCTTTTGGCAACCATTATCATTTTTCCGGTCCAGCATGTGAGGTGGAATGATCATTCTCCAAAATTATGGCTGCGAGACTTTGAGATGGATAATCCTGATTAGTAGTGTTTTGTGGTGTGATCACTTCCCTGCCGTTGTTCTCATATGTCTTCGTAGAGAAATGAACTCAGGTGTGTGCGCCACTTCCAGTATGTTGGCTGGCCTGAGCGTGGTGTGCCAACGACTGGCGCCGCTCTCTTGGACTTGATCGGCCGGGTGCAGCGCAATCAGGAAGCAACTGGTGATCAACCCATCGTCGTCCACTGCAGGTATATACATGTGCCTGTATATCCCGGGGATTCCCCTTCCAATAACCCTGACACACCTGCAATATTGACGCACAGCTTCTTCTTTCTATCGTGTGAAGTATATTCTTCAACAGCGTGCATGAATGAACAACCCAATCTCAATCAACACTGCAATTTGCACTGCTAGCACTCAATCTTCAAGTCTTCTTATGTACAGCAAAGAGAGTGGGAAACGCGTACAAGAAGGAAGTACAGCCAAAGCATACAAATATCAATGTACGGTGCGGGATGTGGGAGATATGCGACTCATAGGAATATCCAGACTCAAGGCTTTCTATGAGAAGGCCACTCACACTGCGATGGCACTCGTACAACTGCTTCTCTGAATGGTATCTCCCGGAACCCCCCCCCCCCCTCCCCTTTAAGAAGAGAGTCACTGAAACAAAATGTTGGTAATAAATTGAACAGAATGCAACAAGAAGAAGAAGAGGAAAACGTCGTTGTGACTCAGAGTTTCATTATCTTCAATTTGTTGTATGTAACTCTGCCCACCTCGGGCATTGAGCACTCTTCTAGACAGCCTGGAACAGTTCTGTCTTTGTTGAGCAGAATGCAATCATTTTTGAAGATTCGTTGATTGAGTGAGAGCAGCATGAATTGCAGTCTTACATAAGACTGGGTCGTTCACTCACCCATACCATTGCGGGAAATTGAACTGCAGGAAGCATCCAACCAAATTGTGTACTACAGGTCTACCCTCGTTGGTACGACAACGGTAAGAAGACAAACCTCAATAGAAGACAACGATTGGAAATACCCGGACGTTGAAACGCGTACATTCACGTCCGGATAATAGATAATACTCGTTATAAGACAAATAACTAGACCCCCCCCCCTGGGGTTATCTACTAATGAGGGTAGACCTGTATATCATTCCTACTGTACTTCACTGTAGCATTGGTGATTGTGCTATTATTTATTTATTTATTTATTATGCTGGCCCGGTTGTATTGCAGCTCTGGTGCTTCACGGACCGGCGTGTACTGTGCAGTGTGCATAGCTATCGAGAGAGCCAAGCTAGACGCGCAGGTGGACATCTTCCACACGGTCAGGACGATGCGCATGCAGCGCGTCAGCATGGTGCAGACACTGGTAAGTCTGCGCTGGCAGCAAAATGTCACGCTCATTTCCTGTTCCTGATCATGTGATCATGTGATCATATGCTTGTGCAGTGTATCTTGTACATCACTGGCTCATTGGCACCGCATACTTTTCTTATGGCGCCCGGAATTTGTCATGAATTTCATGAATACATGAATCAGGGAGTCGTTGGAACCACATGTTGCTGCATGTGAGCAATGTATCCTTTTGAGCAGTGGCCGAGCTATGTGTGGTTGGTTGTATGTCTCGGCGAGTGTTGGTGTGCATTTCTTTGTCCGGGATGTGTGCTCACTCGCATTGTCTCTTCAGTTCTGCTTCAGCTGAGGAGCTGTGTCGATATGGTAAGCGGCTAACATTCTGTATCCTGCTTGTGTGTACATGTGTGTACGTGTGTACATTCTATGCTCCAGGAACAGTACATGTTCATCTATCGCACCGTGCAGGAGTATTTGGACTCGTTTGATCTCTACTCCAACGGCAGCTCTATGTAACCAGTGTACATTGTTCTGCCGCTCTGTCCCTACCCCCCCCCCCCCCCCCCCCCAGTCACCAATCACCAGTCACTCACTTACTAGACTGACACTGTCTTCTGGACCACTTTCCAGAGCTCTGCGTAGCTTTTAAAGGTCCCCTACCCCCTCCCCTGTGCATGCCATAAAATATGCTTCCCTGGACTCGGTGCCCATAAGGCACGCTAATAGTAGTGTCAAACTCTAGATTTATGTGCATGTACCTTCGGGTATTCTCTGAGATTTTCAACAGTTTCTATTTGCATTGGCCTGATTAGTTTTTTTCCTTTTTCCAACTTTCCCCCGATTGAACCCATGACAAGAAATACATTCAGGGTATTTATAACACTGTACCTAGCTGCGAGAAAGGAGCATATTGCACATTCGTAGCAGTGCTGCTGTACGACATCCTCAGGCTTGTTGACTGCCTGCGCTGGCCATAGGCTTGCTTGCAGTGTGCCTTTGTGCGGGTTGTATACTTGTTTTCTTGCACTGTGCATGCTGGCAGTAATGATAGTGCTGCCACCTGACCCTGCATGCGGCCACTGTCACAGGTGTATGCACTCTAATGTGGAATTTCAACACAGTGTGCTGCCCTGCACTATACAACAGTGTTCCACTACGACTACTGACATGTAAACTATGTTGCAGTAAGTTTTTAAACCTTAGCATTGCCCGCATACTACATTGATCTGCTGCCTGCTGCCGTCATCTGCATTCCCATCCGCTATGTTTGTCTTTTAACGTTTTCTTCCCAATCGATTTCGTGATGTGTATTGCTGTCTTTGTTCAGTTTCTTCTTCCGACAACACTTCTGCTTTCAATGCAGGATGAAGTGCTACATTGCATGTACCGGCTGTGTCTTGAGCAATGTTTTCTCCAATCATCTGCTCAGTGTCTCGTCTTGGGATGCTGGTAAGCAGTACGCTGTACGCTGTACATTCAGCTAACTACTGCGTGTGTGTGTGTGTGCACACTGCGTGTTTGTCATCGTCATAGAGACGCATCATCGTTGTATTGTATTGTATTGTATTTAAGGATTCCCCAAAGCTAAGGCTGTTCGCCTGTCAGGGGGTTTCCTGTTTTCGCTTGAAGGATGAGATACGTGGGATGGGAAAACTGGAAAGAGAGGGAGGAAGAAAAAAGGAAGAGAAAAGCAGAAGATAAATTATACTTGTAGCATCAACGCCGTCAAGGTCAAGTCATTGCAAGAGTATCGATGCTGTAAAGTGCGCTTACGAAAAAAGCTGCTTAAAACGATGAATGATGGGTGCGAGGTTATGGAATCACAAGAGGCTGAGCGACTTATTATTATTATTATTATTATTAGAGTTACGAAGTCTGAAGAAAATGTTGAACGGCCTCTGCTGGGATGACGACTACACCATAGCTCAGTGGTTAGAGCATCGCTGGCTACAAGCGAGGGTCCCTGGTTCGAGTCCTGGTGGTGACAGTCAATTTTTTCTTCAGACTTTTCCCGTTTGTCTCTTTCCCTCAAACCAGTTAATATTATTATTATTATTATTATTATTTATTAAGTAGTGGTTGCGACCTCGGCGATGATTTGTAAGAAAAGGGTTTGCTCCCCACACCGGAGCTCGCGCTATTCCGCCGACTTTACTTGACACTTGACTGACTCACGACTGCCATCCAGAGCACACGAGAAGTCCATCGAACCTTCGACTCGGCAAACCTGCAAGAAAGCACCACTCCCTGCTCAATACACAGTGTTTCGGGGAATTCACCCCTCATCAGTTGAGCTTGAGTAGGCTGAGGAAGATTGTGCCTGAAGAGCACCACTTATATAGTGCTCTCCAGGCACGACCATCACCAGGGATACAAACTTACAGAGACGCTCCGTTTTCAGCGCGACAAACACCTCGTGAGCACCAGATAGCAGCGTGAGTCAGTGTCGCTCCTGGACGGTGAGACAGACGTCGAGGACCCTCGGTCATTCGCAACGCTGTCACCTCCAAACCAACTAGTCGCAAGCCCGCGCTGGGCACAACAGTACGAAGTAGTGGTTGCGACCTCGGCGATGATTTGTAAGAAAAGGGTTTGCTCCCCACACCCCCCAGTCAGTCAAGTGTCAAGTAAAGTCGGCGGAATAGCGCGAGCTCCGGTGTGGGGAGCAAACCCTTTTATTATTATTTATTATTATTATTTCACCGTCCAGTGGCAGAAGCCAATGCAAAGGAGGGGGCGTTAGCCAACCATGGCAAGAGAAGAAAAAAGAAAGAATGAAGGAAAGATGATAATTGGAAGAAAACTGACTTCCGTTGAAAGTGCCAGATAGAACCATTGAATGCACACGTGACTTTCGTTACCTCGATTGCATTGGTGGCTCTATGCCAGACGTCTAGTCCCACATTGTTCACGTTGAAGAAGGGGAGTATCAGTTTGTATACCACTCACTGCTTTTTTCGAGTATTTTTCAGGCATTTCAAATAGTAGTCGGCATGATGCAAAATTGAAGTTCGCCTCACCCAATGCCACATTTCGTTACAAAGCGATACGGGTGTGTACAGAAATAGAATCATGGTTAGTATTGGTGAAAAAAATAAAAATCAGTGTCCCGCACTGTCTAATAAATACTGACATAGATGTTTGCATAATTATTTGAGGCATTCTGGCCCGAAATATTGGTGAAATATAAAGATATTCGCAGTGAAGAGACCGTTTTTGGAGTTAAAGAAGTGAGGAGCTAATAATTGCTTTCTGATCTAAAACAATTCTAGGTTTTACTATTATTGCACAATTGCAACCTAAAGTAAAACTAGGAGTTCCAGGTATTAGGGATAGTGTGGGGGTGAGAAGCATGTATAAACTCAGTTATCTGAAAGGACTGCACACATCACAAATCTACACTGTACTCAGTGTATACGAATAAGAGAGAAATGATTTAGAACAGGTGCTTAATATCTACGCTGATGTGCATCGCTGTCTCAAGTAACTGAAAACTATCCTAAGTTATTTGTCGACGTGAACAAGAGCTGACTATGAAGTCGATCATGACAGCTGTAGCATTGCTATGATCATGTGTGGCTTAGCTCGGCCATGATTAGCCCACACACGTGCTCAATGTCAGAAACAGCTTGCCTGGTGAGCCTGGGGAATGATCTCTGCTTCTTCAAGGACTTGACAAACCGAGCATACTTAGACGCACGACTCTCTATAAGTCTATGCATGTGACTGGCAATGGAAGGTCGATACGGAAATCCTAGGAATTCATAAAGTCTTCTGGCTACTGTTGATGCTCGTTCCAGGAAGTGACTAACAGGTACAAAGTGGATCCTCTCTGAATACGGCGGCTTGCTGGCCAGACAAAGAGATGTGTTAGTAAAGGCAAGCCACACAAGAGCTAAAGCCCTGGGCAGATTTGGCTCTTTGGAAGTCAGTTCATCTTGAGCTGTCTGCACAACAGGATAAAAAGCCGGTGCACATCTACTGACTTGGTCACATTCATGATTGATTTTGTCAAGGAGACTACTTATCTGTGATGCTAATGGCAATGTGCTCTTCATCAGCAGTGACTTGTGTTCCAGCACGGACGCTACCCACTCGCGAGGATCCTCTAGGAACATTACAAAACGTCCTGGCCGAATTGTACTCGTAAACCACTCCATTTTCAGAATCCAACTTCCCTCCCAGTCACCGGCTATGACTACAGTGGAGGGATCATTTCCAAGTTTACGCCTGGCTTCCGACAACCGTTTAGTGACCTCCTGCGGACGCTTCTTCTGCTTCAAAGCTGGGGATTTATTGATTGTGATCAAAGGATCCTCCTTGAGCTTTCTGAACCAAAGAGTAGTGTGATATCGACCTGCTGAAAAGTCTTCATCGCTCCAAATGCATGGAGATAGTGCTTCTCGATTAGCACCTCTCCTTTTCTGCAAGTCAGTGATAGCTAGTAGTGCAAGGTCTGGACTAGGATGTATCAGGTGTTCTGCAATACTGGCACTCATTTTGGCCATCGGTAGTGACGAGAAGATTATGTAAGGGCTCTCGGCTGCAGCTCTCCATGCTGAGATAGATAGATTGGTGAGTGGCAGAGATTTATTGCACAGAGACTTGATGGAGGCCACCTACAGGTGAAGAGACAAAGAAGACCATTATTAAAATTATATAAATTTCTACAGTAACAATGACACCACTGGGCAAGCAGATGTAAACGAGAAAGTTGCTACTAGCGATGCAAGGCCAAGTGCTGCATACGTTCTGACAATAGAGAGGTTCCGGGGTACGATTTTCCGTGCCAAAATCCGTATGGGCGCTACGGATTTTTTCCAGGCGTGCTCCATACGATTTTTCGGCACGAGAATCCGTGTGGACTGGCTTTCATACGAACCATGCTTCGTATGGAGATTTTGCGTCATCGGGTGCAGAAAGATTTTTCGCGTACAAATTTGGTACGAGAAACATCGATTTTTCGCGGGAAGTTTTGATTTCGGTACAAATTTTCAAAATAAAAAGGCATAGCGCGGGAATGTGACGTGTTTGCGATCGTAACCTAGGCAATAACGGCAAACACATAATCTCCGTACCCCGGAACTTTTCACTGCTCGAAAACGACGTATAAAAAATCCGTAGAGCCTCCACGGATTTTGGCACGAAAAATCGTACTCCGGAACCTCCCTAATGCATAGCAACCAGAACAAAGGGAATGCTCTCTTCTATAACTTCCTCATTCTAAGTTCCAAGTGACCCGTGGTCCATGCAACATCGTAGCCTTGACCTGCTGACCCTGATAGAAACCCAATCAAGAGATGCCGTATTCGAGCGTACTCGAGTGTGCACAAATGCATGGGCCCTGGCCCAAGGCTGACTGTAACAGGCAGCCCGAGAGTGTGCACAAATGCATGGGCCCTGGCCCAAGGCTGACTGTAACAGGCAGCCCGAGAGTGTGCACAAATGCATGGGCCCTAGCCCAAGGCTGACTGTTACAGGCAGCCCGAGAGTGTGCACAAATGCATGGGCCCTGGCCCAAGGCTGACTGTAACAGGCAGCCCGAGAGTGTGCACAAATGCATGGGCCCTGGCCCAAGGCTGACTGTAACAGGCAGCCCGAGAGTGTGCACAAATGCATGGGCCCTGGCCCAAGGCTGACTGTAACAGGCAACCCAAGAGTGAAACACACATTGTCTAGTATTACAGTCGTCCACATCGTCTACCTGTGCCTTATGACTCCCTGCACATATGAACATGTACACTCCCTCCCCCCCCCCCCCCTCCCACACACACACACACCTATGTTCACTCGTACACACAATACACATGTAAAATAAAATACCATGAGAACACATCTGATTATCACGCCTGACCTGACAGACCTGACTATTATAATGCACCAATATCTGGAACACCTCCATAGCACTTACTTCACTTGTGTCTGACAAATCCTGCCAGTGAGGCTGGTCCGATGGACGATGCATGGCACCGAACTGGACAGTGTCACCTTTGTGTTTGATATGTGCCAGAGACCCACTACAATGCCAGAGAAAGCGAGTATTCACATGCCAGTAACCAGTGACCAACGAGAGTGTATACTTCAAGTTGTTCTGCTGACTTTGCAGGTGAACATTGAACTCCACACCTAGCCGTGATGATCGTGTGAAGCTCACTGATGGTACAGCATTACTGTTGGCTACGAACACCCACACAACACGTGTAACCTCTTCTACCAAAGTCACTGAAACATTCAAATGATGGCCTGGCGAGACATCCAGGCGGGCTGTAACGTCATTACTGCCATCAACAAACCAATAGATGTGCTGTGTGTTCTTGAGCTGATGGGCAGCTTGGCGTCCTCTGCTATCAAGTTCAAACTCCTCAAACAGATTCAAGACTACATTTCCATGGTCAACGGAACTATCAGGGTGCCGCTGGATGGAGTCAACCATGACTAAGACATTAGGATTGAGCAGAAGCAAGGATCGGCTATTGCTCACAAGCATCAGATTGGCCGGATAGAAAGCAGCTGCCTCGCTCATGATGAACACAAAGCCATCTTGCTCGCTTGCCGTCACAATACCAGAGTGTGCAGCATTACTGCTCTTCTCATTGCCTGCATTCAATGGTGAACACGGTGGTGCCTGTGAGTGCAATGTTGCCGTGCATGCCACAGATTCGAACACCCAGGCATTTCCAGGATGTACCGCAGTGCCATGTTTCTTAAAATGTTCAACAACAAACGGCCGTCCACCAGGGTAGAATAGGAAAGAATTGCGGTACAGCCATGCAAGCTCACTAACTTTGTCTTTGCTGACTTGCCTCCAAGAGCTATCAACATGCTGCTGTGAGGCACTTTGCAAACTGAGAAAATATCTGTTAGGTGGCTGAGAACCTACTCCAGACACCACTGTACCGAATGTATCCAAGAATACAGGAGAAACGGCCGATGAACCGGTCGGAGGTATTGGCTTGATGTCAGGTGCAAACCATAAGAACTCTAACATTAACATGAAGCTAGACTGTCCAGCATATTGGGTATATGTTGGATTGATAGAAGTCTGCCTGGAACGATGGCGTTGGATTTGCTGAGCTAGCCAATTAGCATGTCCGTTGAGAACAACATACTTGTCAAGGAAATGTAACTGTGCTTCGGGGCCGTATGCCCAGCCAGGCACGGTTGAATCCACCGCTCTCATGGATGACTTGTAGTCCGGTAACGTGGTAACCATCAGAAACTGTAGATGTTGTCGCAGCCATGGATGCTGGTAATAGTTCACATCCAAATGTACCTTAGCTAAGTGAACATAGAGGAACACAAGATGACTGCACTCAGTGGTACGTCCTGCTGCTCCAGGAATCGATCCATCTGCCACGTCTTCCAGCACTGACATTATCCTGTCCAGAGTGCGTCGAGCCAGACTTAGTTTCTCTTTTGACCGGACACCATTGTCCTGGTGATCATGCATCACCAGGCTACCAACAAGCAATGCCACTGCATCTTCCAGAATACCCAGTCTGATTTTGCGGTCATCACTCTCCCATGCAGCCACGTGACGTTGTAGCCTGGAAAGTACTCTGTCAGTCTTCACTACGATGTGCTTACTAACCCGGTGACGATCCACACTCTTCATATGTCCATACAACATATCAAATGCAATGGCAACACAGAGCAGATTGCGAGAATTCTGTGAGCCTTGGACTTGGCCCTGAGCCACCTGGGACAAACATACAAGCACACACGGAGAGCACATGGTCTAGGGATGTGTTTGGTTGGTACGATCTAGAACAGGATCGAACAGCTGGTGCACATGGATCAGCCTCATGCCAACCAAACGGTACTCCAGAAACAGAGCACATTTTTGTGAAACGTGTGCCAAACTTGGTGCATTCTTCAAATGTGTACGGGTCACCATGGTCACTTTGTACGGTACAATAAGTCCGACCTAAAACGTACGCACGGGATCACTAGGAACCAAAATCGATGTTCCCGCCAGGTTTCACTGTGGAAAAGTGAAACTGCTCGGTCTGCTCTGGCCTCGAGGCCGGAGCAAGCAGAATATGTTCTGGCCGACCCAGAACAGGTGCAGTCCCAACCAGACGCGCTGTTCTGGTGAATCCTGTTCTAGGTTTTACCAACCAAACGCGCCCGAGAAGTTTCTCTCCCTATAAAAAAGTACACGTAGAAATGTACAGGACTGTGTTTAGTGAGTACCAGGGGGAGATACTGCAACTAAGACATGCACGCAAGAGGAATTGTATGTTGCTCCCCACGTGGGAGGTCACACGTTTCCTGCCGATTCCCCACAATTCCTCAAGTATCACCGAAGTCGTAACAACCCTCTTCATAAGAAATGCATGTACACATACACGTACGTACCGTAAAGTACCGTTGACCCCCCTCGCCGTGTCGCTTGGGGTGGGAATTAGATCAAGTCGTTCAAGTGCAGTACGATGTACAACAAAGCAGAAAATCAGACCTGGAATGCTGGATTGTGCACATTTCCATCTTGCACACGCACGTATATTGTGTACAGCAGTACATGTGTCAGTTCAACATCGCATTTCGTTGCATATGCCAACGTCACTTCACAGGCAGACATTCGACAGGGGGCGGGAATTAGAGCGGGGGCGGATCAACGGTACTTTACGGTATATACATAAGCACGTTGTTTTTCTTCTCTCTTTTTCTTTCCCTACTAGTTGCTGTCACACTCACTGATCCTTATGCACAGATATACAGCATTCCCTCACTAGTGGGGCCATTGTTATTAGACTAGGGCCTGTTTTGGACTTCCCACTCTAATAAAGAATACAAACAAACAAACATTACCTTCACAGTGTCGCCTCTGACTAAGCGCAATAGACTGGACAGGGCCACCTCTTCATGGGCTGGACTGTTGGTATGCAGCAGTGAATAGAATGAAAGAAAGGCTACAGCGCCTGCCTCGGGACGGGGATTTGCTCGGGACTGATTCCGATGCAGTCCTCCTGTCATGTTTTCATACGCAGTCTGCATAACTTTGGCAATTTCTGAATGTGTGGATTTTGCCAGCGTGGGAAAATGCCCAGCGCTACCCTGTTCAAAGAATAGCAGTGGATGTGCTGGGAGGCTAGAAGAGGCCGCCGCGTGAACATGATCCCGTTGTGCCTTGGCAGTTTCTCCATGATTCCTGGCAGCACGTTCAATGTTAGCACTGGTAACTTTAGAGATCGGTGACGTGTACAACACTGGATTGCCTACGGCACGCTGATTGGCTTCGGCGGGCTTGTGCCGCGTCACGCCATTCAGCATCGAAACAGTCTCATCAGCTTTCTTTTGATCCCCAGCACCAGGTGCACTGACCACAGTGAAGGCCAGCGAGTCCTTACCAGCACAAGAGCACTGTAGGCCAAACAGCAGTGCGAGGCAGATGATAATGATGACTGTGGTATTCATGCTGACAGCTCTAGCATCTAGCCAGTGAACATGTTACAATGACGTTGATCGAAGACATCTGCCTTGCAGTACAGCGCAGCACCACCATCAGTCTCACTCAAAGCTGTCATCACCTTGAGTCTAGAGGCTTGACCTGCTCACCAACCCGGCATCATTACAAAGCAGCATTGGACACGGATATTATCTTGAGAGCGAGAGATGTTGCAAGCCTTGAAACTGTTGGAAGGGCTTGATGCTTGAATCGCGAAATGTTACTACGGCACATGCTAGGGGATAATTGCAATAAACATTGATATACTACAGCAGTTCTTAGTTCGAATTGGCACAATTGTAGAGCAGGAATGTCAAATACCTGAAACTATTATGATTTGAAATTCTCAACTAACTTACTTTGCCTCATGCTCAGATCCGTGATCACAAACTCAGCAGATTACAGTAGGTCACGAGGTAGGAGGGATACATGCACGTGACTCACAGTAGCAGCTTCATGCCTGGTTCGGTAGCCTCGCGCATCGTGCGCGCGCATCGTGCGCCGTGCAAGTGACTCGGTAGATCTACACCGGACACCAACACATCGGTCTCCGTTTTCGACCACAACGTCTGGAGAAGTGGAACTGAACACTTCGGAAGCACTGGGCACACTTTCTGAAGCCTTGCCGAACTACTTGAACTTGAAGGCAAAGCGCTGGCTGGCTCTGACTGCAACCTGGTGAAGGACTTAGGTTGTTGTTGTGTATTCTTTATTTATAGTGGAAATCAAAACAGGCAAAATGCCTAATAACATTGGACCCACTGTGAATAACATGTTAAAGGATATTGTGGAAAAAAAATTAAAAAAAATTTGCGGAACAACTGTTTGCGGTCCAAGATGACAGCGAGGAGCTAGACTGACATCGGTTTTCTCTCTGACCTCAATCTGGGACCATTACTCCATTACGATGGTACATGTACTGTGGTATTCAGTAAAAAAATAAAAAATAAATTTACAGCTGAGAGAAGAGGGAGGGTGCCAGGGGCGGTGTTCGTCTGCTAATTTTTTTATTTTATACGAAAGTCCACTATTCCCGAATATGTGCGAGAAGTGGTGGCGGGGCCAGGCTGCTCTGCCGGCGTCTACGCAGACAAAGCGCGCCATAATACAGTAAAGCCATGAGGAGGGGAAATGAATAGTAGTGAGGAACGAGGACAATGCCAATGGGTAGATGGTCGTGAGAGAAGCAGAGTGAAAGATAACATCACATTGTGGTAAGGGGGGGGGGGAGGATGCTAGTGAGGCGCTGGTCTAAACCATGTCATAGGGCGTCGGTGGCATGTTTGCCAGTTCAGGTGCAGCAGATACTTGTTGCATTTTTCCTTGACGGATTGGAGCTGTCTGGGTTGCGGCCGTGCTGGTAGAATGGTCGCTGGTAGGCTGTTCCATAAGGGAATAATGCAGTCTGGGCAGGAACCCTGGAGGCTGCTACGAGTGCGCACGGGCAGCGTCGACTTGAGCTGGAGCGGGTGACAGTGGGCAGTCTCCGTGGCTAACCTAGTGGATCGACCACCCACTGGGCGGGGGTTGGCTGGAAGTGGGAGGATGGTCTTCAGGAGGCTTGTTGTTGGGAGGTAGGACAGCTTGAAGGTGAACGAAAGCGCAGCAACCAGTCGGCGGTGTTTCAGGCTGGGGAGCCAGGCGCCTGGGCCAATCACCTTCAGTACCTTGTGCTGTATTTTGTCCAGCCTGGATGTGCATGACCCCATCCACACCAGGCAGCAGTATTCCATTGTTGGCCGCACGAAGCCTTTGTAGACTGCCGTGCGGCCGCTAGAGTCCAACAGGGGTGCAACCTTTCTCAGGAAGTGTAGGCGTTGGGCAGCCTTTGAGGCCACGGCCCAGAGGTGTGCTGAGTAGGTCAGCTGCGGGTCGAATGCTACGCCCAGAAGTTTAATTTGCTTCTCTTCGGGAACAGTCGTGCCATTGAAGAGCACTGGTGGGAGCGCTGGGGGAGGCTTGCGGTGGTCGATGATGATGGCCTGAGATTTGGATGGCTCGAAGGTGACCTTCCCCTTGGAACCCCAGTGGGAGACGGCGTCCACTGCTTCCTGGAGTTGTGTTGCAGAGTCGGATATGCCGGAGGTGGCAGAGATGCACTGATACAGTGTCGTGTCATCTGCATAGGTGGCAAGCTCAGCACCAGCAGGCAAGGTGTCCTCGCAGTCATTTACGCACAGGAGGAATAACGTAGGTCCAAGGATGCTACCTTGTGGTACCCCTGCTTGGATATGGTGCAGGGAGGACTCTTGGCCGCCCACAACAGCCTGCAGGCGCCGGTTGTGCAGGTAGCTTTCCAGCCATCCGAGAAGCGGCCGCCTAGACCATACAGGGAAGCCTTGTGCAGCAGGCCAGCATGGCTGACTTTATCAAAGGCGCCTGCTATATCTATCGCCAAAACATGGGCGGCTCCTCCAAGGCCGGCTGCTCTGGACCATTCACAGTGTAGCTTGGATAAGACGTCAGCTGCGCTCAGGCCCTTTCTGAACCCGAACTGTTTTGCGGAGATGACATTGTGGGACTCCAGGAAACTGGTTATCTGACGATGACAATCGTTTCCATCACTTTGGACATTATAGACAGCAGAGCACAGGTCTGTAATGTTGAGGCAGGTTCTTGGATTTCTTCTTGTGAATGGGTGTGACTCTAGCTGTCTTCCAGGATGTCGGCATAACCATGCCGTAGAAGCTAAGGGAGAACAGTTTGGAGAGTGGCTTACTTAGAGGGTTTCAGCCGTGCGCTGAGCAACGTGGGTGAAATCAGTCGCAAGGTTGGCTGGCGGGGAAGTCATCGGCGCCCAGGCTGCACTTTGAGGCGAAATACTGTCCAAAACACTCAGGTTTTTCGGCATTCGATACGCATTTCAAGCCAGGCTGCGGAGTGAGAGTTGGGATGGAGGTGTTTCTGCTGCTGCCACCTGCTTGCTTGATGGTAGACGACCACGAACGGTCACTCAGGCTAGCTTTGGAGAGCTTAGTGCGCAGGGTAGCCAGGCGGACCACCTTGGCATGCTGGAGGATGTCATTACAGCGTAGAGTGGCTGCCGAGGCTGTCTGCCGCGCTGCTGTTGACTTCTGCCGCCTGGTAGCAGCCCAAGCCCTCTCTTTTGCTTGTATGGCATCGGTGCACTCAGGGATCTACCAAGCTGGATCCGTCGGCCAGGATGTGAGTTGCCAGGATGGGATGAAACGTGACATGCTCTTGAGGATAATTTCGGTGATGTTGGCACACGACTCATCAGCGCTGGTAGTGAAGGCAATTGACCAGTCATAGGCTAGGAAAAGGTGACAGAGGCGGTCCAGTCTGCTTGGTTGTACTGCCAGACGGTGCGTGTGGTTTTTAGTTCACGGAACGCAGAGATAGGGAAGTCCATGGTGAGGACAGCGTGGTCAGAGGACCCCGGTGGGGCATGGCATTTCACCTGAACCGGTTCGCCGAAGTCAGACATTACAAGGTCCAGGGTGTTATCTCCACGTGTGGGGATGTTGACATGTTGCTCCAGGCCATGAACATAGCAGAGTTCCTCGGCTGCTTCCCCTGCCCAGGTAGTCTTGGTGCTTCCTAGCCATGCTGCATTGTGGACATTGCAGTCCCCGGCGAGGATAACATAATCACCGTGGCTGCGGGCCTCATCTAGGTGGGTATCAAGGTATTCGATCAGCTCGGTGTCTGTCCCGGCTGTGGAGCGTGACCGGTAGAGTGCACAGATAACAATCTTGGACCGGCTAGTTGTTGGTACAGATATCCATATCACTTCGTGATGTTCCGTGCTGAACCGGTCCGGGTGCTGGAAGGCCATGTTTGATTTCACCCAAATGACAACTCCGCCTCCGTGAGCGTTTCTGTCATGGCGAATGGGGGGAGCGTATCCGGACAGACAGACCTCACTGTCAGTGACCTTTGCGGTTGAGAATTTTATCTCCGTTACAGCGATGACATCAGGTGAGGAGCGCTTTGCTACATGTGCGAGTTCACCAAGCCTTGACTTTAGGCCAAAAGCATTGGTGAGTAAGAGCCTGAGGAAGCGCTTCATTGGTGACCATGCAGGTCATGTTGTGGCGCAGATTCGTTTGATCTTTTCAGGTCGCCAGCCTCTGGTGGGGAGAGGTGGGAGTTTCTCCGTTTTTGGTCACCATGTAGTGAAGTGGTGATGATGTCTGCAGGTGGTGGTGGCGGCGGTGGTGGTGGCGGCGGCGGTGAGGAGGGGGAGGTTGAACCAGGCTGCTGTTGCTGTTGCTGTTTAGTCAGAACACTGGCAGAGGTGCTATTTCTGCTGCTGTGGCTGCGACTGCTGGTGCTGCCCTCAGAGCTGGTTTCGGAGACCCTCCATGGCCTGCAGTATAGGGGTCTTGGCCAGAAGTTGGACGCTGTCACTGTGGAGAGTGAATCTACATTCCCTGGCACGTTGTTGGCTCAAGCTGAACATTCTACATGTATCTCGATATCCAAGCTTGAAGCTCATCGAGAGAGGCTTACAGTGGGTTGAAAGTGGCAGGAGACACATCATCGGCACGGGTCAGACAGTACACGGTACAGTGTTGTGTCATCTGCATACGATGCGGGATGGCATTCTGAGGAGACACAATCAGAGATGTCGTTGCGAACAGGGCTGGTCCTAAGACATCTTCAAGTTCTTGCATGGACAAGTGTCCAAGGTCTCCCAGAATGACGAAGAAAAGAAAGAAGTATGACATGCGCAGGAGAGTGCTGCGCATGCAAAAGAGAGTAAGTTACATTTACAAAGACAGGTCTAACAAAATTTAATGGAGACTGAGACCTCTCATCACGACTAGACCTCTGCAACAGGGTTTTTACGAGAGTGCGCGCGTGTGGGGGGGGGGGGGTGAGAGAGAGAGAGAGAGAGAGAGAGAGAGAGAGAGAGAGAGAGACAGACAGACAGACAGACAGACAGACAGACAGACAGACAGACAGACAGACAGACAGACACACACACACACACACACACACACACACAGGCACAACTGAAGAAGTACATTACTGTACATGTACGATGCGAGAAAGCTTATGATCCTACGAGTAAGTTTACTCCCATGGCCCTACAGACTGCAAGTGTAGTGTAGTCAAGATGAAGCCCGCCGCAGCATGTTCACTATGTCCGCCAGTATGGATTTTGTTATCCTCCAGCCCATGGAGTGCTGCATGCACTGCACGACGCGATAACTGCACACTCGTACTCTGTACTGTAGGCTTGATTTTTGAATTGGCTTGAGAAGTAGTACATGACCGATATACTCCTGCTGAAGGAAAATTCAATGGATCAAAATAGTTCAACAAATACCGTTATACGTGTACGTCTGCAATGTACATGTATGAGATAGTGGTAGCGACTTCGGGGGCGATGGTTTCAAGAATAGAAAGGTGCTTGCTCCCCACACCGCGTACCGGTACCGGAGCTCGCGCTTTTCCACCTGGGGAAGTGTCAAGTAAAGTCGGCGAAAAGGCGCGAGCTCCGGTAGATCTACGCGGTGTGGGACTCCTGTACTGTAGACCCCAGGCAGTAGTTACTAGATGTACAGTGCTGGCAACTGAAATCCGACCCCCCCCCGGGCTGCGCTGCACGCCGCCCGGGGGGGGGTCGGATTTCAGTTGCCAGCACTGTACATGATTGTGCTACTGTGGACGTGTGGTGGACATGGAAATCCAGTCGATTGACCGAGGGCGCCTGCGCCCTCAGCGCGTACAGAACGTCGTTGCACGCAGCGCAGTGTCATGGCGCATGCGACCATGTACCAGCGAGCTAGCTGCAGCGTGTACTGCTTACCCACGGCTGCATGGCCTGCGTCCTGGGGCCGCTAGACGTGCGACCGGATTTCAATGATGTATGTAGACTAGGCAGATACAGTTTCGCGCACAGACCGTTGAATCTTGACGTCTTTACGATTGCAGTCTTTGTTGTAGTAAATTGTACGCCTTCAATTATTTGTGGACGGCGGACTTCAACTCCAAGTCCAGGCTTGCGGCATAGCATCTCTGGCCGGCCTAAGAGTCTCAATATTGTACGGCTGTGGTCGACTATCCACGTAGGGCGGGCAGGTCAAACTGCTACCGAGACGATCGCTATGCTGATAGTCATTGTGCGCCGCATTTCAGGATACCGGCACGTACAGCCGATTAGCGTTCAGACATCGCTGATGTCAGCATGAATCCGGCAATTATTATCAATATCAACTGTTACTTGCTCGCGCTGCAGTTTGGGCTGCAGCGTTTGAGCGCTGCTGGGGATTTGCTAGATATCACTGTCGTAAATGCACAGGCCAGTGCTGATGATGTTGGAGATAATCGTGATGAGGTCGTAGCTACTGTAATGCATGATAGGTTTATGCACGAACCTATCCGAGCCAAGTCAGCGAGAAATAATCGCGGCGCAGGTGGTGCACTGGCCGCCGCCACTGCAACTGGCTCACAATCTATGCAGAAGGTTGCTGGTGACCATGGAGACGCTGCCAAGCAGAGACATGACGAGCATGACGCAGCCACTCGGTCTAGCCGCCCTGCATATCCCTCGCCGTCGCTCTTCGGCGACGTGGGCAGTTTCCCCACGCTGGCGAAATCCACGCATGTCAAAATTGCCAGAGCCATGGACACTGTATACCAAGGCATAACCACGGGGGAACACAATGCCAAAGCACGCCAGTCTCGGCGTCAGGATCTAAACAATGCAACGTCTCCGCTGGGTAGTGCGGAGATGTCGCAAGGGTCACAGGGCAACGATTTAGTATTCCTCTCCTTCTATTCATTGCTGCGTGCAAACAGTGTTGCACCACGCACGGAGGCCGTGTCAAGATTGTTGCTGTTATCCACAGGAACCACTGAAAAACAAGTAAGCCGCACGTATGATACACGAGAGAACTATCTAACGTCAGTGTGAAATTATGGGAGATGTCACGTATCATGAATGTGCACCGTTTCTTTCGTTTTGCCTAGTATTCTCCGTTTTCCCCCCTCTCTCTCTCTCTCTCCCAACTGAAGAGTACAATCATGCAGTCATACAGTTCATAACAGACTTTTGCTATGGATGTGCCGAGCCTAGTACAGTACAAAGAAGGGATAGCAGTTACTAAACCTATATTATTGCTGTGACTCACAGTTTCAGGTAAAAGCCGTCATCAGACGACACGCACTATTTGTGTGCATGTATGTCTATGGATTGGTATGTACCTGTGTCTTCCCGCATGTCTCCAAAACATGTGTGTGCATTCTTATGTTTGTCTCATGTGGCTCAGGACCAAGTCGAAGGCTCACCGAATTCTCGCCATCTGCTCTGTGTTGCCATTGCATATGATATGTTGTATGGACATATGAACAGTGTGGATCGTCACCGGGTTAGTAAGCACATCGTAGTGAAGACTGACAGAGTACTTTCCAGGCTACAACGTCACGTGGCTGCATGGGAGAGTGATGATCGCAAAATCAGACTGGGTATTCTGGAAGATGCAGTGGCATTGCTTGTTGGTAGCCTGGTGATGCATGATCACCAGGACAATGGTGTCCGGTCAAAAGAGAAACTAAGTCTGGCTCGACGCACTCTGGACAGGATAATGTCAGTGCTGGAAGACGTGGCAGATGGATCGATTCCTGGAGCAGCAGGACGTACCACTGAGTGCAGTCATCTTGTGTTCCTCTATGTTCACTTAGCTAACGTACATTTGGATGTGAACTATTACCGGCATCCATGGCTGCGACAACATCTACAGTTTCTGATGGTTACAACGTTACCGGACTACAAGTCATCCATGAGAGCAGTGGATTCAACCGTGCCTGGCTGGGCATACGGCCCCGAAGCACAGTTACATTTCCTTGACAAGTATGTTGTTCTCAACGGACATGCTAATTGGCTAGCTCAGCAAATCCAACGCCATCGTTCCAGGCAGACTTCTATCAATCCAACATATACCCAATATGCTGGACAGTCTAGCTTCATGTTAATGTTAGAGTTCTTATGGTTTGCACCTGACATCAAGCCAATACCTCCGACCGGTTCATCGGCCGTTTCTCCTGTATTCTTGGATACATTCGGTACAGTGGTGTCTGGAGTAGGTTCTCAGCCACCTAACAGATATTTTCTCAGTTTGCAAAGTGCCTCACAGCAGCATGTTGATAGCTCTTGGAGTAAAGTCAGCAAAGACAAAGTTAGTGAGCTTGCATGGCTGTACCGCAATTCTTTCCTATTCTACCCTGGTGGACGGCCGTTTATTGTTGAACAATTTAAGAAACATGGCACTGCGGTACATCCTGGAAATGCCTGGGTGTTTGAATCTGTGGCATGCATGGCAACATTGCACTCACAGGCACCACCGTGTTCACCATTGAATGCAGGCAATGAGAAGAGCAGTAATGCTGCACACTCTGGTATTGTGACAGCAAGCGAGCAAGATGGCTTTGTGTTCATCATGAGCGAGGCAGCTGCTTTCTATCCGGCCAATCTGATGCTTGTGAGCAATAGCCGGTCCTTGCTTCTGCTCGATCCTAATGTCTTAGTCATGGTTGACTCCATCCAGCGGCACCCTGATAGTTCCGTTGACCATGGACATGTAGTCTTGAATCTGTTTGAGGAGTTTGAACTTGATAGCAGAGGACGCCAAGCTGCCCATCAGCTCCAGAACACACAGCACATCTATTGGTTTGTTGACGGTCGTGATGACGTTACAGCCCGCCTGGATGTCTCGCCAGGCCATCATTTGAATGTTTCAGTGACTTTGGTAGAAGAGGTTACACGTGTTGTGTGGGTGTTCGTATCCAACAGTAATGCTGTACCATCAGTGAGCTTCACACGATCATCATGGCTAGGTGTGGAGTTCAATGTTCACCTGCAAAGTCAGCAGAACAACTTGAAGTATACACTCTCGTTGGTCACTGGTTACTGGCATGTGAATACTCGCTTTCTCTGGCATTGTAGTGGGTCTCTGGCACACATCAAACACAAAGGTGACACTGTCCAGTTCGGTGTCATGCATCGTCCATCTGACCAGCCTCACTGGCAGGATTTGTCAGACGCAAGTGGAGTAAGTGCTATGGAGGTGTTCCAGATATTGGTGCAATAATAGTCAGGTGTGTCAGGTCAGGCGTGATAATCAGATGTGTTCACATGACAGTGCAGGGTTCTAGCCAAAGGGGTGTGGGGACTCTCCCCATACGTTGCATTTAGTGTGGCAAGACCATATTGGAACGTGGAAAAATGGGATACAGGGTAAATGTTTTCCATGCCCCCCCCCCCCTACTATTTTGACCAGGCTAGAACCGTACGTTGTACTTTACATCTAAACTGTGTGCAACATGGATGTGTGTGTGTGTGGGCGGGGGGCAGGTGTGCAGATGTGTATATAATATTTTGTGCTAGGGAATCGTAGCATACATTGAGACGATGTGGGTGGGTGTAACGCTAAATCATGTGGGTTTAATGATAGCTCGCATGCCGTCCTACCGGTAGGACCCTAGAAATCGCGCTGCAAAAGTGCTTTTGCTTCAGAATTTTGTTGAAAAAAATTTGTCGACATGAGGTCTTTGTCAGGCAAAGTAATGGTGCAAAATGCTAGACTATATCCAGTGCGTTGCATACATGCAATTTTATCAATTGTCAATTGGCCGCACATGCTCCTGTCGGAGCGCTAGCAACTCAGTCCAAAGTGAATTAGTCCAAAGTGAATTTTGACCATTGCACATCGATCGGGGTGAGGACCTAATGTTTTTATTAGCCTGACAAGGCAGTGGAATGCAAAATTCCATACTGCGTTCCATGGTTACCATGGGCTATTACCATGGAATTTCGTAGTATGCCTTGTGCAATCACGTCTGAAAATTTGTGGACCCCTTCATTAACCCCTTAGCAATAGTTTAGGGTCAAGTTGTAGGCCAACGTTAGAACAGAGGCCGTGCAGCATGTCTGTGTATGATGGTCCTACCGGTAGGACCGAGGTCTATGCTAGCTATCATTAATGCTCGGTCTGCGGCTGCCCGTCACAGTCGTCCTTGGGCCAGAGGCCATTTATGCACACTCCAATACGGCATCTCTGGATATGGGTTTCTATCAGGGTCAGCAGGTCAAGGCTACGATGTTGCATGGACCACGAATCACTTGGAACTTAGTATGCGAAAGTTATCAACAGGGCATTCCCTTTGTCCTGGGTGCTAGGTCTTATCAGAACTTATGCAGCACTTGTAACTGTTATAATTACTTGTAAGTTGTATCGCTATTGGCAACTTTATCATTTACATCTGCTTGCCCAGTGGTGTCTTTTATGCAGTCGTTGTTACTACAAGTATAGAAATTGATATTATTTTGATAATAGTCTTCTTTGTCTTTTGACCTGTAGGTGGCCTCCATCAAGTCTTTGTGCAATACATCTTTGCCACTCGACAACCTATCTATCTCAGCATGGAGAGCTGCAGCTGAGAGCCCTTACATAATCTTCTCGTCACTACCGATGGCCAAAATGAGTGCCAGTATTGCAGAACACCTGATACGTCCTGGTCCAGACCTTGCACTACTAGCTATCACTGACTTGCAGAAAAGGAGAGGTAGCAGTCGGAACGCACTCTCTCCGTGCATTTGGAACGATGAAGACATGTCACCGGGTCGATATTACGCTACTCTTTGGTTCAGAGAGCTCAAGGAGGATCCTTTGATCAAAATCAATAAATCCCCAGCTTTGAAGCAGAAGAAGCATCCGCAGGAGGTCACTGAACGGTTGTCGGAAGCCAAGCGTAAACTTGGAAGTGATCCCTCCGCTGTGGTCATAGCAGGTGACTGGGAGGGAAGTTGGATTCTGAAAATGGAGTGGTTCACGAGTACCATTCGGCCAGGACGTTTTGTAATGTTCCTAGAGGATCCTCGCGAGTGGGTAGCGTCCGTGCTGGAACACAAGTCACTGCTGATGAAGAGCACATTGCCATTAGCATCACAGATAAGTAGTCTCCTTGACAAAATCAATCATGAATGTGACCAAGGCAGTAGATGTGCACCGGCTTTTTATCCTGTTGTGCAGACAGCTCAAGATGAACTGACTTCCAAGGAGCCAAATCTGCCCAGGGCTTTAGCTCTTGTGTGGCTTGCCTTTACTAACACATCTCTTTGTCTGGCCAGCAAGCCGCCGTATTCAGAGAGGATCCACTTTGTACCTGTTAGTCACTTCCTGGAACGAGCATCAACAGTAGCCAGAAGACTTTATGAATTCCTAGGCTTTCCATACCGACCTTCCATTGCCAGTCACATGCATAGACTTATAGAGAGTCGTACGTCTAAGTATGCTTGGTTTGTCAAGTCCTTGAAGAAGCAGAGATCATTCCCCGGGCTCACCAGGCAAGCTGTTTCTGACATTGAGCACGTGTGTGCTGATGTCATGACAAGACTGGGTTACTCCTGAGGCCATCATCTCTGTATCGTATTTCCCAGCTGTCTGCACGCCATGGCAGCAGAGTATGTCAGCTAATGCAAGAGAATGGAGATTGCTTTTCCAAGTCGATGGGATATTTAATGGCTGTTCAGAAGTGACCTGTTCTATTTGGGCTTAATAGCAGCTCCTTATTCCCCGCTTGCTGGTGTGGTGATACACAGTGGCTAACACCGTGACAATGCACTGCGGTTGATCTTGATACTTGTATTGTTATTTGACATAGAATTTTAGTTGACACTCCACTTGAATTATCCTTGAATTTTCGAATCCTGTCTTCAAGTAATCTCACCCTGGACTATCGTCCGTTACCACCAGAGTATATCACTTTGCTTCGAATGCCTTCCACTCCTCGTATCAGTAGTAGCCACCCACTATTGAGTCAGTGCAGGACACTGAACTCTAAGCAGTACTACTAGCAGTAATGAACCAGGTTTTCGTACACTTTTCTGTCATCTATTGGTAATGTTTTGCAATGCATTGGTGAGCGCTAGCCAACAACTATTTTTTATTAATTTTATTATTACCAGGGAGTTGTAGAAACGGATTTAAACGACTCCCTGCTTATTACAATCATGTAGCAGCTTTGAGTACTCGTACTCACAGTCGATGTGCATAACGTTCCCATGGTTACATTGTACATACTTTGCGATGCCAGTGCATTGCTATGCTGTCTCCCCTTTCAATTTCATGCTGTGAAATAATCGTCTTGTACACGCGGGGGGGGGGGGCAAAATGCAAATCAGCATACATGACTTGAACTCACGGATGGAAAGAGAACACTCGGAATGTATGGAAATCAATCCAAGTAAATCAGCAGCGGTTGACTGAAGATGGCATCACCAAATCAAGTAAATCAATTGGGAATACAAAAGGAAATCATTCAAGACTTTTAGCGAGAGGATACTTCCCAGCTGGCCTATAACAGTATAAGGCTATAACCACAAACGCTACTAGTAGTATACTAGTAAACTCAGTTACTGCATTGCAGATCATGATTTTTCTCATTATCATTACAGTATCATAGCAACTAGAACAGTTACTGTAGAAGACTGTGCAGTCGTCACATGCGAGAGTATATGCTATATCTACTCTTGGTGGTGTTGTTGTTGTTGTAGAAGTTTATTTAACGTCGCACCACAAACAGGCGATTTCGCCTCCTTTGCCATTGATACATGTGGACGACAGAAGGAATGAGAGAGGGGGGGGGGGGGGGACAGAAGTACGGAGAGAGGAAGAGTAGAAATAAATAAGCAAATCAACCTCAGGGCTACACCAAAGCAAAAACGGAATGGGAACATACTATAATACAAAATAGCTTCATACATATATTGCAAAACACGTTTATTATTCTTCAGTCCGCTATACCACAGAAACACACTAGCCGAAACGGAGCCATGATGCGCTTTTAGCAGGGCACAGAACTGAAGGTGGCTGGGCTCGGAACGGAGATCAGGCGGGAGCTGGTTCCACAGGACTGCGCCGATGAACTGCATGGTCGCTCGACCCGCAGGACCGTGTGTGGTGCATGCACGCATGCACGGAATAAGGTCACCGCGTACCGGTGAATGTTTTCCACAGAGTCATGACAATGCCTTCGTCATTAGAGAGGAAATTTATGGCTGCAGCTCAGACTTCCACCCTGCCGCTGGGCGACCTTCAGTTAGATCTACAGCCAGTACAGGTGACTGGTGTGCGGGTAGAACATGTAGGAGACCCGAACAGTCATGATGTGTACTAGTTAGAAAGAAATGGCCCGATATGTGGCAAGCTATCACCTTCGTGTTCATGCATCTTTTCATGGTGTGGGACTATACGAATTGTATGGTGATCATCGCCTCTCAGACATGTCACTAGCAAGAACCGGATACTTCCCATTCCCCACGCTACGCATAGCACGATATATAATACTGAGCCAGGAACGCCACAACCAACACCTCCCAAACTGCGAAGCACAAGTGCTAGCAGTATACCCAATACATCCTGTCGTGTCAATGTGTATGTGCAATGCAATCGTTGTTTACGCCGATCTACAGACTGTATGAATCTCTCAGGCGAACATTCAACTCCGTAGACTCTGCGTGTCGATGGAATTGGATGTCAACATACATTGTACATGTGGATATGCGATGTCAAGGCAGTGACCACACCCTAGGACCCACACCGCCGCACTGGTTGTGGAAGAAGGAACTGGATTCAGGAAAGGAAGAAGAGTTGCTTTGTGCGATTGGTTGTTTTGGCAGTGATGATTGTGTTCATCTCTTTGCTGAATAGCTTCACCCCTTGTCATGGTGTCGATGTGATGCAGTGTGTGGTCCGGCCATGTCAATAATTGTCATCCCTGGTGAGAGTCTGCATGCTTACACAACCTGTTACTTTTAGAACCACCAGCTACCGCCGCACTGGCAATCGGACTGAAGACTGTGATGCCTAGCGGTTGTGCTGATGCAGAGGAACTACCGGTACTCGACTGAGTGGAAGGACCTTAGGTAGTCAGTTCAGTCATGCTACCTCTGCTGTCATTGCTGCTGCTGGTTGTTGTTCTTCGAGTGGAGCAAGTGAAAGGACAGAGTCGTGAAGGTAGGTGTATGTTTTAGGGTCCATCCTGATCGGATAACGGTTGGAGTACTTGTATCAGGAACGCCACAACTCTAAGCGTTTCTTCTCGTGCAGTACATGAGTTAATTTCTTACCCGGTGTCACCAAGAGGGCTACATGTACGTACTCTTGGTGTCCTGGAAAGTTTGGGTACTGGACAGTTTGGGTACTGGACAGTTTGGGTACTGGACAGTCTGGGCGAGATGGAGTTCTTGCCAGAATGGCTTGCTCACCCACCTCCCCCCACCCATGCCCACCACCACCTACATGTATTTCTTCATAGTACAGTAATGACAATGACTATCAGCAGCATGTATTTCTGGTAGGTTGGCATGCAAACTAGCAAGTCAGGAGGGATCTTTCACCTTCCAGCAGTGTTTATATTTCACTTTGTACTTTTGTCTTCATGTTGCCTTGTTGGCTGATGATCGCCTTAGCCTGAAGCTCGGAGTCCCAACACTTTCACCATGGTCACTACTACATGTAGAAGATCTACTACAAACAGTAGGGAGATCTACATTTTGGACCCGGTCGCAGTTTGTGAGGCTCTCCGTGACTCGTGTGAGTCAACGACTTTCTTGCAGGGAATTATTATAATTTTAAAATTTCTTGCTGGGCATGGGCAGACCCGTGCCCTTACCGACCAATCCATGTTACCATGGTTGCAGGTATGTCGATTTCTTCTTCTTCTGTACTGCGTCTGATGCTGGGACCAGGTCAAAGTTCAAATCATTGACATGGAGTGGTGACCGGTGGTAGATTGCGGACGGTCGGTCGGCTTCTTTCCGTGAACAGTGATTCTGCACTGCACTTCAACAGTCAACACAATCATGCCATGCATCATGCGCTCCCGGGATCCTCTTGCCTTGGTTGTTCGCTTATTTTGTGAATCATAAAAAATGTGTCTCGGATGTTGACGAGACGACTTGCAATAAAAAATCAACGACTAAATAATTATAAGTCCTGCAATGACTATGTAGTTAGTAAGCCTAGGCTAGGAGGAAAGACGTTTGAGTAGACAACAGTGTGCTCAGTACAGCTCCACCGTTAGCATGGTTCGGGATTGTCCCGAGTGGATTTCTAATGCAACGAAGCAGAAGCTGCAGACCGGCGTTCGGAGCGACAAGAGAACTGCGCCCTTTCAGCGGTTGGCTAACGCAACGGATCGATGCCGTTTGACGGTGATGTTTTGTCTAACGCAAAGAATAGACCAATCCCGAAAAGATTGTCTGGGTTCGTGAAAGGGGGCACGCGTGAAAGCCAGCACGTGTGAAGTGCATCGTTTTGTATTCAGTTTGTGTGTGTCAGCTCATGGCGGAGGAGAGAGAGACTTTTGCTCGCCGAGCTGAAGCTAAAGGATTTGATGGAGTCGTGCCAGCAGCTAGTCAAAGGACCTTTGGTACCTTAGGCCGACCCTGACGGAGTTTGGAGGCCAGATAGCTCTCAGTGAGGAGAGAAACATTCGCGTGGCGATCGACTCTCCGTAAAAAATGCAAGCTACATAGCGCCGACATACTGCAACAGCTACGATTTCAGCTAACTAACGTTACTTCTCGATCTGCTCCTTCACAACGTTCAACTATTTACTAGTCCTGACTGTTGTAGTCTGAAGCTGGAGTCTCATCGCCCACCTACAGGTAGCTTTTGGAGCTGATGGATTTCCCGACTTGGACTCCTTCCGCAAACTCTCGCAACATTACTACAGTGTATGCTGTGTTTCCGCACGCTCGTGTCGACATGTCACCTATACTGTACATGTACCGGGTCGCGGAGGAGCTTGACGACCTCCGCAGACTCCAGGTTTCCGAAATACTGCCGTCGTCTTCGTTGATGTCGCTGGTGACATTCTCCCCTTGCAGGACGTGCACATAGTTGTCGTCCTGGGGGTAAAGACTATGTTGTCTTTCGAAATAGTTCTTCATCACGCTCGCGCGAATGATGTTTCTCATCATGAACTCGTTCCGACGGTGTGACCAGGTGACACGGCGATGGTCTTTGGCGGGGCACTGGCTTGGCCAAAACGATATCTTCTTGTGCAATATAACATTGATCGGCTGCAGATGAGTACAGTCACTTCGTGGTTGATCCTATAGGAGGGCAGCTGCCAGGAAAGAGGCAGGACTCATCGAAGACGAAGCGCTCGCAACAAACAATAGCACTCGAAATACTTCGTAAGATTTAGGGCCTATCGCTTTGAGCCACAGCGCTCACAGCCTTGCCTACTTCATCAAAGTGAGCTCTACATGTTCGTTGACCTCTTCACACTACACAGAAGAGCGAAACAAGGATTATCTCTAAGCATTTCAACTCCAACAGCAGACCATTACCAGTGCGAGAGAGAAAACTACAAAGGGCTTCGCTTTCTGTCGCATCGTCTCTCTTGCATGCAACTAACGAGAAAATCGTGTACTTACCCTCGCATTCACACGCGAACTATCAAACACGTCCTGTGCCGCATGCTGATCAGGTAGTGCCATGTATGTGTTGTACAGTGCACTCTCAGTTGACATGCCCCCTTTCGAACCCAGACAATCTTTTCGGGATTGGTCTATTCGTCTTGCTCAGTCGAGTCCACGCGCCGTTACTGCGTTAGTGTTCGAGTCTGAGTTAGAGTAGCGGAGGTGTAGAGGCAGGCTTACGCCAGTACTGTTTGATAGAAGCCTAGCGCTTGAAAGTGATGACGTCAAAACGGCCAGGGAGTAGTAAGTTGACATCAGATTTCTATTTTTGGATCCACTAAGGTGTGACTTTGCTATTGCCTAAGTATGTGGGAGCATAGCAACCCACTCATGTCGCATGCAGGTGTGACTTTTATTTCGCCACCAGTTGTAACCCCGCCCCCAGTAGCCAAATCAGTCAGTTTCACTGGCTACATCACCTTGCTGTGGGTAAGACGGCTTGAAATGTGCTTGGATCCATACAAAAACTGGATCCAAGTGGATCCAGTTTTTGAATTTTTGAAATTGTTGCTATGCTGTGACGTAGCACTTTCAAGCCCTATAGAACCAACCACTGACGGTCACCCGGTGCCATGGTGAGATCCTCTGGAAGCTGATAAAACACCCTGTCCTGTCTTTTAGTCAACTTTCGTCTGCAAAAGACTAAGCCTCGTAAGCTTAGTCTATAAGGGTCGGATTTCATCCAGCCCAACTGCCATGTTGATACAGTGTCAGTCAGACCTCGCTTAAAGGGGAAGTTAAGGCAAAAATTAAAATTTCACCAGTTGTAGTCTTCGGGGTGCTGAGTCGAATGGTCTTGGTCCGAGAAACTACTCGAGTGACAGGACTGCACCCAAAAAAGGTCAAACAGGCTAGTAAGTTGTACCCTGCAGGCACGGTGACCAGGTGACTGGTGTACACTCGAGTTGAACTCGAGTTGAACCTTGGTGTGAAAGTTGTCGCCTGCTGGCGTGGTGACCAGGTGATTTGGGCACTCAGGAGCACGTGACCACTTGTTCAACCATGTTCGATTGGGAATAAAGGAGGAACGCTGCATCGCAGCCTTTTCAGACCAAAACCAGTCGACTCAGCGTCCAAAAGACTACAACATATGGGCCAATCGCGGTCATCCGTGCTTTTTTAAGAACGAAATGGCGCTTTTAGTGACATTTTGCATACAAATCCCCATCTAGTAGGGCGCAGTCACCCAGTTTCGGTGGAAGTACGCGAGTTCGATTGGGATTCAAGTAGGAAGGGAGGGTCTCAGCTTTCTCGGACCAAGACCATTCGACTCGGCACCCCGAAGACTACAACTGGTGAAATTTTAATTTTTGCCTTAACTTCCCCTTTAACCGCACACATCCGTTTTCCAAAAAAATATCCGGATAGGCGGGGGAAGCGGATAACCGAACACCGTTTATGTTGGATGCATCACGTATGCTGTAAATATGTAACCAGCTTTTTGCTTCCGGATGGCGAGGGATCCGGATAAACGCGGACCGGATAAGCGAGGTCTGACTGTACTGTATTACTCGTTGCATTTTCCCTCAGCCTTCCTACCGGAGCTTGAGTCACTGAGACAGGAACACACATTGGCTGTGGGAAGCAATGTCACTCTGGATGCGCCATTGCGCAACACACCATACCCCCTGCCTAGAGTCATCTGGGCGTACCAAGCGCCGGGGACAAACTTCACCAGGGTAGCACAGTACGTGCTAAACGAGGAAGCAGGGTCGGTGAGCTATAGCATCGGGCGTGTTGCAGTGAACAACAGCGGCAAGTATGCAGCTTACATTTTCAACTCTGTTGGTGGGACAGTGGCAAGTTTTCAACTCAATGTCACCTGTAAGTGTGTACCCTACTCACCTGTAAGTGTATACCCTAACTGTTACATTGCCTTAGTGGAGTCAAATTTACAGAAGTTGTTTGAAGCAAAGCGACTGTTTGCGAAAGAGAGAGAGAGAGAGAGAGAGAGACACACACACACACACACACACACACACACACACACACACACACACACACACACACACACACACACACACACACAGATAGAGAGATAGTGGATAGATAGTGGATAGATCGATAGACAGCTTAGATAGGTTGATAGATAGGTGTAGATAGATAGAGCTATGAGTAATGTGCAAGTGGCTGAGTTGGACTTTATGAAGAGTTCAGTTTACATTCAAGCCTTTAAAGTCTAGCTTCTAGGCTAGAGATCTAAGCCATTGAAGAACACCTGAAGAGTGGGGATAAAAAACCTTGCAATACAAGTGTAGCATTTTCTTTAGGAAGTACACAGAACACTATAGAAATGTGCTTGCATGCTTCAAGTGTGGAGCTGAATGCACCGAACTGAAGGGTTCTGTTGGACCAGAACATACAAGAGCTGACATTAGGTTCCCACCACTCCTCCTTATCCTGTATCTCTAGATTTCTGCTCTTCTACCAACACAACAGACTTGAAAGGACATATCTCATGGCCGTCGACAGTATCAGGGTCCACTGCTGCTGTTGAATGTCCCGTGAAAGACGAAACCGGACTTGCCATTGCCAATGCCTCGCGACATTGTGAAGCTCCTACACAGCCTGCGGGGCCCGGTGTGACTGACGCAGTGTGGAGTAGTGCTGACACGTCTCCCTGTCCCTTTACCTCACCTACAACACACCGCTTGCAGCAACTAGCACAGGTAATGTGCTATGTAACTGCTATGCTGGCCAACCCTGAGCCTGTGCTATGCTGGCCAACTATGAGCCTGTGCTATGCTGGCCAACCCTGAGCCTGTGCTATGCTGGCCAACCCTGAGCCTGTGCTATGCTGGCCAACCCTGAGCCTGTGCTATGCTGGCCAACCCTGAGCCTGCTGCATATACATGTATACAGTCAAACCTCTTAAGGATGAACACAAAGGGACCGCTGCACCGCTGGTATTTATTCCCAATATCGGGAGTTCTTCTTATCCGTATCTTATATCCAGTGAATACGCAGTGATTTATCCAATAGGGTTATGAATACTAGTTCTTCTAAAGCAAAAGTTTGTCTTGTCAGTGTTTCTCTTGACGAGGTGTCACTGTATTATGATGCCGCGGGCAGCATGGATGAAACATACCTCTACCAAATAGCTGTTATTATTCCTTGCTACTACATATAGAGTAGGTGCTGACTCATTCCATAGCTCGCGTGTTCATTGTCGTAACGCAAAGTCAATGCAAGTTATGTACTGTGTAGTGCAAACGTATGTAACGTTACTGCCGTATCATTCACCAGATATTGTCCTGATTCTTCTTCTTGACTGTTGCAGAAGCCCTTATCCGGTGCCAGTCCCAATATCCTGGTGGAGAGAACTGAAAATGTGGCTACTCTAACACAAGAGAGTGCGGTTCTATCATCGGCAGACGTGGAGCTCACTGCAACAATCCTTGCCGAGGTTGTTACCGTCTCTGCGGATAATCAAAACCTGACTCCAGGAGAGAGAAGGAATGTGAGTTTAGTCATCTTTCTATACGATGACGTATACCAGAATGATTTCTTAGAACAGCACACGCATGGCAAAGTACTCGTATGGACATAGTTTGAAATGTTATGCTGCAAGAAGGCCACGCTCAGAAGACTGACTTGTCTGCTTTTGTGTGTTTGTGAATTCCATCTGTCCTGTTGCTGCTAAGATAACATCATCCATAGGTCGGAGTGTCAGCACAGTTATCGATGCCCTAGAAAGCCGCCTCACCAACGACCAAGAGGTGATGGTATCGGCAGACATGTAAGTGCATGACACATCATTATTGGCAATGGCCAAGCAAGACGTCTGCTGTGACTCTTGAGCTTCGTGCTGCTGCTTCATACACCAGGCAACTTCTTCATCAATGTGTATTGACCTAGTGTCATGGCTCTGAAGTGGATACTGAGCACTCTTACAGATACAATGAACATAGAACTTTCTTCGTATACCACGGTGTACGAAACTTGAGTAAGTCGGCTGCAGTCTTTAAGCAAAACATTTGAAAGAGTGCGAAAGCTATCTACGAATGTGTTCTAATTTGGATCTACAAATGCTCAAGGACTTCACAGTCCCAGAGTTTTCAGGCATATCTCTATGCGTTGCTCTGCATGACGACATGCGTGCATTAGGTTTATTGCCACCTTGGAGTCCCTCAGTATGCTGGTCAGAGTTGACGCAGGCCAGACATTCCGCCTCCCAACACCTAACGTGGACGTCAGTATAGTATGTCCGGACAGTCTTGATCAGGACCTAGCTCTCAGAACGGTCAAGACCAATCTAAGCAATAACTCCAATTCCTCCGGTGAGCTACTGGCGCTGGTTGGACCTCGTGCAGAGGCAATTGATGGTAAGCTACATGTCTCTTTGATGGTCTGTGTCTGGTCTTCCGAAAAACATCCCGATCTTTTCTGGGCAAATAGAGAATGGAAGAGATGTATAACAAACCTGCTAGCACATTAGACATTTTAGTATTTGGTGTGGTACCCGCACTGCCCATGCCACTTCATTGCTTATTTGCATTAACCTCGGTCCTACCGGTAGGACCTACCGGTAGGACCATCATACACAGACATGCTGCCTGGCCTCTGTTCTCACATCGACCTAAAACTTGACCCTAAACTGTTGCTCAGGGGCTAATGAAGGAGTCCACAAATTTTAGACGTGATCGCACAAGGCATACTGCGAAATTCCATGGTAACAGCCCATGGTAACCATGGAAACGGAGTATGGAATTAAGCATTCCACTGCCTTGGCAAGCTAATCAAAACATTAGGACCTCCCCACGATTGATTTGCCATGGTCAAAATTCACTTTGGACAGAGTTATAGATTATGTGCGGCCATTTTGACAATCGATAAAATTGCGCATACGCAATGCACTGGACATAGCCTTGCATTTTGCGCCATTACTTTGCCTGACAAAGACCTCATCTCAACAATTGTTTCAAGAAATTTCTCAACCAAAAGCACTTTTGCAGCTCGATTTCTTGGGTCCTACCGGTAGGACGGCATGCAAGCTATCATTAAATTTAATAGCGTCTCGGTGGAAAAAGATCACGGCTTATATTTCTCTTGACTTTGTCTCCAGTGTGCTGCATGTGTTGGTATGAAGTAGATTTGCACATGTCAAGACAAACACAGGCTACATGTATCATGCTTGCACTTCATTGCATGGCCTTTGTCCTGACTATGTACAGTCTCCAGGTCTGAAGTCTCGTTTGATCTACCCAGCGCTGCATTGCGCCTTGCATCACAATCACTAATGGCTGGAAATATGTCAACTGGAGTGTGCCCGTTTACCCAAGTTCAGTTTACGGTGTATCGGCTTAGCAGTCTCTTCAGTGACAGCAGCAACCTGGATCCTGATGTGTTTGTTGCGTCGGCTATCGTGTCAGCGTCCGTTGGAGACCGTGTGAATGGCAGTCTTCCAAACAATACGCAGGCTAGGTTTGCACTAGCAGTCAACACAACAGTGGATGTAAGTTATAGTCTGACGTTCTCTGATGTGACAGACAAGCATTTTTGTAGAGTGAAGCCGCGAAGTTGCCGCAAAGTTGTGAAAAGCACAAATCTGCATGTTGTATGAAATGTGCCGTGCATCGCTAATACAGTATACTTCCGAATGTCTGTGTGCCATCCTGAACCATCCTCTAACAATACTGGAATGGCAGGAACAAATTGTAGCCTGTCGCTGCATGTGGTTGCAATTCAACAGTGTGGCTTTATTCGCATCGTTGAGTACTACTTGTATGAAACATATGCCGACTAAGTTCTCCTGAACTTCTAACAGTTAGGCTGAAGTCTTCAGGTAGGACCACACCAATGACTACATACATGTGACGACTCCAATATGCCATCCTATAGGTGGTGACGAGTAACAGCAGTAACATGGCTTGTGCCGGTGTTTGATTTTGAGTGTTTTCTTCTTGCCGGTAGAACACTCTCAGCAGTTCTGGTTTTGCACCATATTTACGAGCATTTGTGTAATGAGTTGTTTTTTCTCACTGTTAGGCCACACCAAGTTATTTCTATGTTTCGCGTCACCCGCCCGCGTACCTTTTCAAATCCTTGACAAGAAAAAAAAGAACCTAGACGAGCCAATCAATGGCTGTTCTGACGAACATTCTCTAGCCAGTATGGCAGATCAGAGTTTATTAGCTTCTCGATAATCTTGCATTCCAGGCGATGGTACGTAGAAGGTGCGAGAGATTAAAATTTCTATTTTTCCAAGCCGTACGGTAGGCCTAGGGCCTGCTCACCAAGCGAGCAGAGATTCCAGGTGTCAAGGACTTTGAGATTTTCCACGATTGTGATGGAGCGGGATCGCACTCGACTCGTATCAAAATGCAGGAGGAGCCATCCATGAAATCTCTGTATCGCTCCAGCCCAGTCTGCCAGCTGTCCTGTGACGACTTGTCGTTTTGGATAGAACTGACAGTTTGGTAGTGGTATTCTGTGTGCAACATGGCTCAGTACACATAGAATGGAGTTTTGTTTTTTCTTCTGTTTTTGTTTTTTTTCGCCCGCCCGCGTGCCTTTTCCAGAAAATATCCGACGCGAAACATAGAATTAACTTGGTGTGGCCTTAGAGTGCACACACTTCCGCACTTTGAGTTAGTAAGTCTTTCGGTTCTCCGCCAATGAGCACAAACAAAGTCGAAATGTCTATCTGTCTGGACAGTGGACGGTGTGTGTTCAAGTTGTGTTGTTTGCATGATTGTTTTTCATGTAACGCAGGACATTACAAGGGCAAGCTACACATGCAAGGTTTGGAATTCCTCTCACAGTAAGTTTAACTGAGACCAATACGTTTTTGAGACACCTCATTGGATGCAGATAAGAAAATCCGGAGTTCTCCTGGAAATTTGTTCAGAACTTCAGTCGGAAAGAAGCCTATTTTCTGGCTGTCGCATCATGTGAATAGTGGGTTTGCTATGGCTGCCAAGGCTTTCCTTGGTGCTGCTGGTGCTGTGTTTTGTTTCTGGCGGGGTATCCAGTAGATCCCAGCATGTTGCATTGTTACATAGGGATGCACTCTCGTTGGAAGACAAAGCACTACTTCTAGTGTGTCACTTCAAGGTATGTTTGCATGTTGTGTCGGACCTCATGTGTACCAATGTGTCAAGGATTGTGGAGTTCAGAAGGCTGCCGGCTTGCTAATGACTCTATCCCTGGTCGGGTCCTGTGCAGCTGCGATCGCCTGGGAAGTTTTGCTGTCCTGACGGTAGGCCAATTTGTGGCCTGTGTCCACAGTGTGTGTGTGTGTGCACGTGTTGTTGTTCTTGATGGTGTTTACGCTGCTGCAGTTGTTCCTGAGGTGGATCTGCTTTGCCTCTGTGACTCGATGATGTAGATGTGTGTTAAATCAGAGTTTCTGTACCAGAGGCAGAACACTCATGCTTTCAGCATGGCTAATTAAAGTTGAGCTCACACAGCGTTTGACACCGTACTGTATAATTGTATCTGTGTCCAGTCTGTTGGAGAGCCACTTTTCCGCAAAGATGTACTACGGACATTTGATATCCCATTGAATGAAACAGTGCAGTTCAGAAGCACACTGGTCCACCTGGCACGGCCAGCACCGGAGATTGCCTGGTACTACAATGGTGCAACTGTTCCCATAAGTTGTGTATCTGCAACTGAGCTCAACTGCTCCATGTCTCCAGACAAACTGACCCTAACAATACACACAGCGCTGGTTAGCAACGAAGGCCAGTACAAGCTCAGAGCAAGCAACAGACTGGGAAACGATAGCCTGATTTTCTCGCTGAACGTTTTCCGTAAGTTTGACCACCCGCTAAAGGCTAGCATTCTAATATCTATTTTCCGGTTTTGTAGTCTGTTAAAGGGGAAGTTAAGGCAAAAATTAAAATTTCACCAGTTGTAGTCTTCGGGGTGCTGAGTCGAATGGTCGTGGTCCGAGGAAGCTGAGACACTGCCTTCCTACTTGAATCCCAATCGAACTCGCGCACTTCCACCGAAACTGGGTGACTGCGCCCTACTAGATGGGGATTTGTATGCAAAATGTCACTAAAAGCGCCATTTCGTTCTTATAAAAGCATGGATGACCGCGATTGGCCCATATGTTGTACTCTTTTGGACGCTGAGTCGACTGGTTTTGGTCCGAAAAGGCTGCGATGCAGCGTTCCTCCTTTATTCCCAATCGAACATGGTTGAACAAGCGGTCACGTGCTCCTGGGTGCCCAAATCACCTGGTCACCACGCCAGCAGGCGACAACTTTCACACCAAGGTTCAACTCGAGTGACAGGACTGCACCCAAAAAAGGTCAAACAGGCTAGTAAGTTGTACCCTGCAGGCACGGTGACCAGGTGACTGGTGTACGCAGGAGCACGTGACCGCTTCTTCAACCATGTTCGATTGGGAATAAAGGAGGAACGCTGCATCGCAGCCTTTTCGGACCAAAACTAATCGACTCAGCGTCCAAAAGACTACAACATATGGGCCAATCGCGGTCATCCATGCTTTTATAAGAACGAAATGGCGCTTTTAGTGACATTTTGCATACAAATCCCCATCTAGTAGGGCGCAGTCCCCCAGTTTTGGTGGAAGTCCGCGAGTTCGATTGGGATTCAAGTAGGAAGGGAGCGTCTCAGCTTCCTCGGACCACGACTATTCGACTCAGCACCCCGAAGACTACAACTGGTGAAATTTTAATTTTTGCCTTAACTTCCCCTTTAAGCTTTACAGCAGTTATGGAATTGTGTATGTGTAGAGATTTAGCTGAGGGAGAATAACCAGCACACAAACTGCACAGAAGCCTCTGCTGCTGTGTAGGCTTCTGGTTTCACTGTGTAGCTGGTGCCACGTGCGCTATCTTAGGTGCCATTTTGTCTCTGCTGTGCCTGATTCCTGGGTGGGGTGGGGGGACATACCGGCATAAATACGGCATGCTCATAGCCATGACTGCATGACGTTAGAGTTCTATGTTACATCAACAGCCCTGCCTTTGTGTTTGTTCAGGCCCGGTGCATTTGCCTTACTAAATTCCTGACACTCTCTTCTAAACCATTCTGATAGATGAGGATGAATGCCCGTTCGTCGGCTGCCATGCGAACGCCAGCTGCCAACACCACGTCACCCCATACCCTATGTGCGTGTGCATGAGTGGTTACCACGGAGATGGCATTGCGCAGTGCACTGATGTGGATGAGTGTAATTCCGGCGGCCATGATTGCCATGGCGACGCCAGCTGTTCCAACCTTCCCGGCGCCTATGCGTGTCCATGTCGGGCTGGCTACCGTGGCGATGGCCGACGGGATTGCTCTGACATTGACGAGTGTGTGGAGATGACGTCATCCTGTGACCACGCTAGCAGAGCGACGTGTACCAATACCGCTGGTCTATATCAGTGTGATTGCGTCCCGGGAGCTGTTGGCGATGGTGTCAACTGTCAATGTGAGTGGAAGACAGATACATGCCGCATAGTACATTCAAAGTTTCTTTGCTGCATTCAAGCCATATTGCAGCAGATCTAGAGAGAAATCAAGTACATGTCTATTCATGTTTCCTAGTCCGGCATGGACGCTGTTAGTCATGTTGCACTTCTATCCTTCATTCTTTACTTGAAAACTCATGCTGACTCATGCTCGGTTCTTCTCCGTCCAGGTTAAATAACGTTATAAGGCCGATTTCATTATGTTGCTGGTGCTGGTGCTGGTGCTTGTGCTGTGTGTGTGTGTGCACACGTGTGTGTGTGCATGTGTGTGCGTGCGTGCGTGTGCATGTGTATGCATGTGCATTCTTAGTTCCAGCATCACTACAACCATTGTCAATGCGCAGTAGGTCGTACTTCCTGGGAACCAGGGCAAGAGAGGTGTGCCAGTATGATGGCCACCCAGTACCAAACGTGACATGGTGTAAGGTATCCAGTGATAATGACACACTTTGCGTGGATGTCCTCAGCCTTGGCAATGCTAACACTGGAGGAGATCAAGACGAGTGTATTCCGCCTAATGTTGTGTTGGATTCCGTGCAGTCTCGCCTAACGTTGCAAATCGATGATATTGCCATGTGCCATGCTGGTCGGTATCGCTGTGTCGCCGAAAACCCTGCAAACAACCAACCGGTGTCAATCGATGTTGATTTGATCATTACAGGTAGGTTTGAGATAGCATTTGCTGCCTGGTGTGAAACTCCTCAAGCTGAACTGCAGTAGTAGCGCTATTGCTGAATTGAAGGAAAACAAGGTGCAGTGTACCATGCACAGTTACTGCATGGTGCAGTTAAGGCTATATGAATTAGCAGACCTAGGTGATAAAACCAACCCTCCATTTATTGCGCTTCAACCTTCTTTCAATAGAAGTCGACTGGTGACTTAACTCCTTTATATTGGATTCACACATGTTTGGCTGCTCTTACCGCTTGTGCAGATGTGTACAGCTTTCAAGTTTCGGCCAATTTCGCCATCAATCCACAAATGCTTGACGTGTACATCGAGGATGAAGACCAGCTGAAGGCGGATGTTAAATCCACAGTGCGTTGCATGCTGGAGCGTAGTGCTCTAGCGTAGGAATATTTCACAAGTGTTTTTCACAAGGTTCATGCAGTACAGTGTATAGTGACAGTGTAGTATAGTACTGTTGGTTTAGCTAGGCTATTCACCAGTATGCTTGTGTGAAGAAAGGCGAGACGATGGCCAATGTCTGTGTTGTTTGATGCGTCGCAAATTCTGCCGGAAACTTCCCTTGCGGTCGGTTTTCTGTACTGGGCTGCACTTGAAGTAGTCTTTAGATGGGCATCTTTCTGTATCCCCTGCATTCAGCTCGCAGATGCTCTGGAGCCAATCTCGTCAATATTCGATGAGTCTGTGGAAACCAGTCTACTAAGGTCAGTTTATTTCAACGGTACCGCAGTGCGGGCAATGCATTGTATACTCAAGTTTTCAGTCCACATGTGTTATGTGGTTGAGGTGCTTGGTAGCCCGGCATTCCCTCCTTACTGACATGGCTAACTCATTGTTCAATGTCACGGTGTGTGTGTGTGTGTGTGTGTGTGTGTGTGTGTGTGTGTGTGTGTGTGTGTGTGTGTGTGTGTGTGTGTGTGTGTGCATGTGCGTGCATGTGCGTGCATGTGTGTGTGTGTGTGTGTGTGTGTGTGTGTGTGTGTGTGTGTGTGTGTGTGTGTTTATCAGGGATTCGGAGTTAATGGCTACTGTCGGTGTAGAGTTGTCTTCGCAAGACGTACATAATGAGATTGGACAGGATGATAACATTATCGGTGGCATGAATGCATTCTTCCTTCGGCAAGTCGCTCTGCGTGAAGGACGGCACTCTCTCCAAATTCAGCCACTATCTGTCAGCTTGCTTAGCTATGGTAAGGGTCTGCATATTGTATGTGTGGGTATGTAATGCACAAGCGTACTCGCACGCGCATGGACTAGGCTTGAAAAACATGTAGCAATATCTTTGGTAGGCCTAAATAGGAATGGTTGTCTCTTACCCGGCAATGTTTGAACTTTACATAATAATTATGTGCAAGTTGTCACTGTCCAATATCCTTGCTAATTGCAGCATGCAAGATAATACCTGTGACCACAGTGGATAAACTAAAGAGCCTGTGTGAGAAGAACTAAAGTTACTTGAGATTTTCTTATTCTAGTTCAGCCTGCACTGCACTGCACTGCACTGCACTGCACTGCACTGCACTGCACTGCACTGCACTGCACTGCACTGCACTGCACTGCACTGCACTGCACTGCACTGCACTGCATGGTCTGCACTGCATGGTCTGCACTGCATGGTCTGCACTGCACTGCATTGCACTGCACTGCACTGCACTGCATTGTCTGCACTGCATGGTCGAAACTACTTGGAAATGCACAATAGAGGATTCTTAGACAAGGCTTAGGTAATGATTTGGCAATGCCCTTTACATTAGAGACCTTTCGCATCTTGCAATGGAACGAGTATAGGGCGAGCCCCACTAAGAACATTTGATGAATGGAGAGGCATCCAAATGTATAAGCGAGGTTTTCAACGGAGCCGTTATGAATCATCGTACTCCAATAGCGAACAAATATCCAAATCATGCTTGTTTTGTACTCGCACTAAAGTGCGAGGGTTTCCACATGGCTAGGATATCACTGTGATATTACACACAGTGTAGAGTACATTTCACACAGTGTAGAGTACATTTCACACAGTGTAGAGTACATTTCACACAGTGTAGAGTACATTTCACACAGTGTTGAGTGCATTTCACACAGTGTAGAGTACATTTCACACAGTGTAGAGTACATTTCACACAGTGTAGAGTACATTTCACACAGTGTAGAGTATATTTCAAGCAGAGACGGTATGAAGTGGATCCTGTTGACTGACATCTTTCTCTTTGGTGTTACGTGTACGGGTCCCTGCATAAATCATGGAGAGTGAAATTTGAAAACAGCTGTGCCAAGTCAGAGAGAGGGTGGGTGAGACTTGAATGTCTTCATGTGTTCCCAGATTTCTGCCCAGTGGAAAACACAACCGACTTGAAAGGCTTCATCAGGTGGCCTGAGACAATGCGAGGAGTGAATGCCAGCGTTGACTGTCCCGTAAGAGATGAGGCTGGACTTGACATTGCCAGTGCAATCAGAGCATGCAATGGAATCGCACGTGCATCCCGCTTTGAGAGGCCTCTCTGGGGTAGCCCCAACACTATGGATTGTCCGTTCTTGTCACCAACAACACGCCAATTGCAGCGATTGTCGCAGGTAATATTTTGCTTTTAACATTATCAGGGGGGGGGGGGGCACTGTATTATTTTGATTTCTGACAGGCTAATCAGATCTAGGCCACTCACCTCTTAGCTACCTCATCTGCTTATGCAACATGTGGTTGGGAGAGTAGAATATAACTATGTGTCCTTGTACACGTATCTATTTGGGTACAACATGCTGGGAGTGAAAGGCCAAGAGTGACTTGGAACAGTGAGTACTGTTTCAGACAGGTATTGATTCATGGACCCTTGTACAGTACTCGTATGCTAGCTAGTGCTGTTACTGTTTTGGGTTGCGACAGGAAAATATCACTGACGCGAGTGCTGAAGTCCTTATTGCAGTGACAGAAGACGTCGAGAACTTAACACGAGACGGCCCATCTCTCTCGTCAGTGGATGTACAATTCACCGCTGCAATTCTCGCTGAGCTTGTCAGCGTTTCTGCCAAAAGTCAAGATCTGCAATTTGATCAGAGAAGGGAGGTGAGCTGTGCTTTTCTCCATGCCTAGCCACAGTGGACTGATTGGGTGATATGTACATGTACATGTAGACAGCTTGTGCAGTTTACCTGCGTGCTTTAGCTATACTGCACCCTGGTCTCAACATTATTATTACCAGCTAAACAGCCCAGCTGAAAACCAGCATGTGCTAACTTCAACCAAGACGTTTGTCAGTAAGTCACAATGTGGATGTATGCACCATATCAACTTCCTGTGCCAGCCAAACAGACTTGCTAGAACTACATGTAGACATACAAGAATGGTGTGCTGTTTCGATATTCATTGTTCTGGTTCTGGTTTTGATTTCTGACATGCCTGTTAACGTTAGATAACAGCATCCATAGTTGTTACAGTTAGCTCCATGGTCGACGTACCAGAAGACCAGCTGGCCATCAGCCAGCAAACATCCAATTCACCGAGCATGTAAGCAGAGGGAGATTTGTTACACAATTTGCACATCATGTATGGCATTTCATGTCCTAAGTGTGACTTTGCTCTGTGATAGCTAACCTGTTCAAGGTGGACGCTGAAATGATGTTCTCTATCCACTGCAGTGTGTGTGTATATGTGTACGTGGGTACGTATGTGTGTACATGTGTACATACGTATGTGTGTGGCGGGGGGGGGGGGGGGGGTACAATGCTGAACACGTGCTGATCATACCAAATTTGCCCTCTCTCTCTGTGTACCTGTCTATGCCGGCTGGGTAGGATCATTGAGGTCATGGACTCTTTGAGCACTGTAGTCAGCGCTGAAGAAGGAATGCCACTTCAGATTTCCACAACGAATGTAGACTTGGGCATTGTTTGTCCGGCTAACCTCGAAGGTCAATCCGTGAGACAAGTTGAAAGTGATGTGAACGGCAGCTCTGATACTGATGGAGTAGGGAGGCTGCTGTTCGGACCCCAACAGGAGGCTATTGATGGTAAGCCCGGCTCTACCTTGCATGGCATGATTTTACCAAAAACATTTGCAAAATAACTTAATGTGTTTGTGAGGCGTTTGTAGTTTGTACATTGATTCATGGAAGTGTGTACTCTTTAATGAGCGTTAGCATGCTAACGCGAGTTAGCAGCCAGCCCAGCGAGCTGGCCCAACCTGCACGCATGCGCGAGTCACGTGGGCACGCGCCCTTCAATATCCTGTACAATGTCTCTTTCATGTCATTGCTGTTTGGACTTTCGAGCGTGCAACTTGCGGAACAGGTGTTCCCGAAACAATTTCCTTCAATCTGCGGACAACTGTTTCGTCCTTTGTGGACTCATCAGCGCAGCACAGAGGGAATTAAGCCGAACCTGATAGCAATGGAAAATAAAATAAATCTCCAAAGCCAGGTTATCAATATCAACTTGTGGCAACTGCGCCTCGCGGTGTACTGGAACAGCACGACCCGCCTGCCAGCAGTGCAGCTCAGTGCACTCGCCAGCATTTCCGTGCGCATTTCGTCCTACTCACCAGTACAGATCCGCATCACGTACCGCAACCGTATGCTGCTACTACGAGTACGGCGCTTGCACGCGTCAGCTCAGGCAGTGCTACCTCCAGTACCGACAGGAGCATCCCAGGGCAAAGTGTAAGGCCTCATCAGTAACTGTGTAAGCACTCAGTTTCTCACTTCTCAAAATTACTGGACTCACATCCTGATCCTATGCTCCGGAGGTATGTTGCACATGGTCGTAATTGTGGGGTTGTGGTAGGTTTCATCGGCAACCACTCAACTAACTGGGATACATTGAATTTAACACGGTCACATGCTAACCCAGATTATATTTCTGCGCAACGATCCGTTTCTTGCAGCAGGCTTGAAACAGCTGGCCGATCCGTTTCTTGCAGCAGGCTTGAAACAGCTGGCCCGTGTTCTTCACCCCCTTTCTCGCCTCTGTGCTGTTCCGGCGTAGATGCGGTTCCTAGACGAACGGGAAGTTACACACGACACACCCTTTGTAAAGCCTGGAGGGTCGAAGTGTCAACGATTACACTCCAGCAGACCGTGTCTCTCCACAATGTCAAGATGACAATGCTGCAAACATGATTAGACAATTGCTCGCCCCGCTGTATCTTGCTAACCTCAATGTTAAAAGTGCATTCTGCCGAATTCCCGTCTGCCCGGAGGAGTGGCCCTTGTTGAACCGCTGGCAGGATCAATACTGTTATGAGAGCGTCCTGCCCTTCAGACTGTACTACGCTCCAGGCCAGCTATATGGAACTCTGTCGCATCCGCCAGTGAATGGATTGTGTGCGGGCAGTTCGCACTCCCACGCCTGTTGCATTACGGGGAATACCTCAATTAATGTTACTTCCTCAATGCATGCTCTGGACTTGTGTTACCTCGCCAGCAACTCGCTATTCTGCTCCGAGCGGTTACATACCTCGGTGTTTCTCTGGCCCCAGCAAAAGTGGAGGGTCCAGCTCAATTCCTGACGTTATTGGCATCTTCCCATTACGGGAAATACCTCGACTAACGTTTCTGTCTCCATGCATGCTCTGGACTTGTGTTAGCTCGCCAGCAACTCGCTACTCGGCGCCGTGGGTTTACATACCTCGGTGTTTCTCTGGCGTCAGCAAAAGTGCTTCCTCGATGTATGCTCTGGACCTGTGTTAGCTCGCCAGCAACTCGCTACTCGGCGCCGTGCGTTTACATACCTCGGTGTTTCTCTGGCGTCAGCAAAAGTGGAGGGTCCAGCCCACGTCCTGACGTTTATCGGCGTCATCCTGGACACCCGCGCGCTCACATCAGTCTGCCGATGGACGAACTTGCCAAGCTTCACGACCTCCTACGGGCCACTCTCAACACAGCTTCAACTACCCAATGTCAACTCGAGTATCTTTTGGGAAAGCTCTCGTTTGCTACAAGAGTGATAGTCCCAGGACGCACATTGCAGATTGTGGTCACTTGCCAACTGGTACCGGCAGCCGTATTACCTGATCAAGCTCTCCGAAGAGTGCCAAAAATACCTTCGCTGATGGCCTTAGCTCCTGGAATAGTAGAACGGCCGGTCCTTCTTCCTACACCCTAAGTGGACGCCGTCCCCCAACTTGCTGCTATTCACTGATGCAAGTGGTGCACTTGGCTGGTGCGCAAACAATTGCAACCGGGGATAGGGCAATGGACAGTCAATCAAGCAGACCAGCCAATCGCAAAGAGTGGTTTGCAATTGTGGCAGCACCTGGAAAAGCTAGCGGCACCAGCAGCAGATGCCAATCGATCGGCTTTGCAGCAACTGCGAAAATCTTGCTCATCAGTTGTGGCTATGGCCTGGCGTCATACACCGGCCACTCGTTTCGAATCAGCTGCCGGACTCGATATTCAGAGAGGCGGGAAGGTGGAAAGCCATGTCTGCCCGAGTAACATTCAGAGGCCACCAGCAGCCAAAGCATGGGTGGCTGTGGCAATGGCCTCAGCCCATGATATCGAGTTCCTGTTAGTCAATCGTTACCGAGCTTGCACTGCTTACAAATATCACAGGTAGCTGCACTTTGTGATCCGCTCTGGGAGTGCCGATTTATGGAATATATGCTCTCAACTGGTTATGCATCTCTATATATCTAGCATTTGGCGGCTCTATTCAGAGTCATTGGCGGCTCCATGCGGAGGCATTGGCGGCTCCATGCGGAGTCATTCGGCGGCTCCATGCGGAGTAATTGGCAGCTCCATGTGGAGTAATTCGGCGGCTCCATGCGGAGTCATTCGCTGGCTCCATGCGGAGTCAATTGCCGGCTCCATGCGGAGTCATTCGCCGGATCCATGCGGAGTCATTCGCCGGCTCCATGCGGAGTCATTTGCCGGCTCCATGCGGAGTCATTCGCCTGCTCCATGCGGAGTCATTTGCCGGCTCCATGCGGAGTCATTTGCCGGCTCCATGCGGAGTCATTTGCCGGCTCCATGCGGAGTCATTCGCCTGCTCCAAGCGGAGTCATTTGCTGGCTCAGCTGCGAGCCATTATACCAGTTGCTCGAATCGGCACTCCCAGCTTAATGTAAAACTCGGTTGCTCTGTTGTGAGGTGGGGGGATGCTAAATGAGCGTTAGCATGCTAACGCGAGTTAGCAGCCAGCCCAGCGAGCTGGCCCAACCTGCACGCATGCGCGAGTCACGTGGGCACGCGCCCTTCAATATCCTGTACAATGTCTCTTTCATGTCATTGCTGTTTGGACTTTCGAGCGTGCAACTTGCGGAACAGGTGTTCCCGAAACAATTTCCTTCCCACCCTCCCACCCACTAGCTCAACTCATGTTTCTGGCGCACACATGACGGTATCTGTATAGTCCATGAGAATATATGCTCTCAACTGGTTATGCATCTCTATATATCTAGCATTTGGCGGCTCTATTCAGAGTCATTGGCGGCTCCATGCGGAGGCATTGGCGGCTCCATGCGGAGTCATTCGGCGGCTCCATGCGGAGTAATTGGCAGCTCCATGCGGAGTAATTCGGCGGCTCCATGCGGAGTCATTCGCTGGCTCCATGCGGAGTCAATTGCCGGCTCCATGCGGAGTCATTCGCCGGCTCCATGCGGAGTCATTCGCCGGCTCCATGCGGAGTCATTTGCCGGCTCCATGCGGAGTCATTCGCCTGCTCCATGCGGAGTCATTTGCCGGCTCCATGCGGAGTCATTTGCCGGCTCCACGCGGAGTCATTTGCCGGCTCCATGCGGAGTCATTCGCCTGCTCCAAGCGGAGTCATTTGCTGGCTCAGCTGCGAGCCATTATACCAGTTGCTCGAATCGGCACTCCCAGCTTAATGTAAAACTCGGTTGCTCTGTTGTGAGGTGGGGGGATGCTAAGTCGGCAGTGATTTACAAGCGTTCATTCAGTAGCGGCCATGAATTTAGTGACTTGGTTAATGCTCTTCTGCAAATTGTTATTCTGATGTGCAGTTTCACGAGCAGATGCTTCATTTGATGTGCCCGGGGAGGCGCTAAGAATAGCGTCCAATTTCCTGATGCAAGACAATCGGACATCAGGAACCTGTCCGCGGGCACAGGCTCAGTTTGCCATCTATCGCATACCCAGTCTGTTCATGGATTCAACCTTGGAGCTGTCTGTGTCGGTGGGGTCCGCCATTGTCTCCGCCACAGTTGGTGATTTATCACGCATCACGCTAGGTGATGGCGACCCTGCACGTTTTGCACTGCTTGTCAACACCACCGTTGAGGTAATCCATCAGCTAGCAGCCGCAAAAATGAAGAATGGTGACATGTGACGTGCTTTGCTCCCTCGTTTCATCTTGGTGGAGCACTTTAAGGCTATCTGCATTGGTGAAGAGCTTGTTACATTTCTTGCAGTTAGGGAATTTTAACTTTGACACAAGGTTAGTCTACTGTTAGCCAATGTTACAATACCTTTTCTGCTCGCTAGACTTTGTTTCGATCAGTTCAGCCAGTAACTCTGAGCTCTGATGCTGAGATGCAACAAGCTCAAACAGCTAGTTGCACTTGTCTGTGTATTGTGTGATGGGTACTGATATGAGGGACACTACTTCTGTACCAGAGCCTTGAGGGAGTCACTTCAGACGTTTAAATATGATCACTCTGTTGTGGTATGTGTCGATCACGTTACATGTAGTCTAGGTTAACGACATTAGAATGGGGGGGGGGGGGGATATTATACTGATGCATGTGTAAGTACACGTGCAGTCGTGCATGCATACAGTGGCATGCATGTGTGTGTGTGTGTGTGTGTGTGTGTGTGTGTGTGTGTGTGTGTGTGTGTGTGTGTGTGTGTGTGTGTGTGTGTGTGTGTGTGTGTGTGTGTGTGTGTGTGTGTGTGTGTGTGCGTGTAATACCGTGTTATGACGTAACTGTTATTGCTGCCGCGACCGGCCTTGTTTGTAACTGTTTTTATTGTGTATGTGTGATCCTGATTGATTGTCTGTTTGCAGGATGATGTGCAGATCAGCTATATGTGTAGTTTCTGGAACACCACGCACAGTGAGTCCCCACCTTGTATAGCCGCCGCCGCCGCGTGTCTCGTTTCTTTTAGCATTTAAGACCCTTTGAAAATCACAATATGCCCCACAAGTCACTGTGAAACACGGATTGCACGGGAATTCACCAGCAATCATTTACTCCAGACATGCTGGGCAAACCATTCCGTCAGAGCCCCCCCCCCCCCCCCCTCCCCCTGCTTGAGGTGATGGTACCAATCTACAGGCATCCGTCTGACGTTTCATGTGACATGCTGTGTTGTTGCCCCGGTAGTCCCAATTATAATTGTCACCTCAGAGTCATGTGTGCTTTATGTATTGGCTGCATGCACTGTCTGTCCAGGAATATGGAGCTCAGAAGGCTGTATGCTTGTCAATGACTCCATCCCCGATCACATTGTGTGCAGTTGCAACCACTTGACCAATTTTGCTATCCTAACTGTAAGTCAGAATGTAGCTGGATCAAACAATAATAAGAGGATCTACCTGGATCGCTTAGCTGGTTCAGCATTTTGCAATGACCCGATTGTGACTATGCATGGGTTGGCTGTTGCACATCAGATGACCTTGGTAAAGACAAATGAATAGTGTGGCACTTACATTCTAGTGGCATGTTTGTTTGTTGCAGACTAGAAAAGCGCTGGAGCAGCGGCCCAAAGACCAGAGGGCACTCAGCATCATCTCCTACATAGGCTGTGGTTTCTCGTTCATAGGACTGCTTGCTACCTTGATAAGCATCGTCACACTGAAGTAAGTACAGTGGGTATGAGTATACTTCCTCACCGGTACTGAGCCTGTTACAGTGCCTGTGAAGTGACGACAGTGATTGTGGAATAGAGTCTATCTATGATTATGGCACTGAGACCATTTTTTTTGTCTTTGTTGCGCCTCCTCCAGCAATGTGCACCAGTGTACCTGTGGTATAACTTTCTCCCGTGGATGAGGGGACAAATGCTATTCATGGCGCCTCATCAGGGATGGAACTTGTCGGAGCCGAGGTTGCTCTTGTTTGACTGGTGAAGTAATTTTCCAACCACTGTTCCAGTGAAATATTGAATCGATCCACTTGTGTACGTATCATTTTAATGATGATGGAGTGTATTTACACAGGACGGTGAAGATGTGTGTGTATTGTATGTGGCTGTCCGTTTGTCTGTGTTTGTGACAGGAAGTTACGCGGCAGCACACACCACCGTTTGCTGTTTGGCTTATGCAGCACACTAGCAGCAGTCATTGTCGTGTTTGTCTTTGGCATTGAGGCTACCAGCAACCCATCAACGTGTCGTGCCATTGCTATTCTTCTGCACTATCTCCTCCTGATGGCATTCATGTGGATGTCAGCCAAGGCTACCCTTCTCTACTTTCAGATTGTCCGACCGCTGTACGTTCTGCCGTCATGGTTCATGCCCTGTCTTATGCTGGCTGTGGCTGGTAAGTTAGTGGTGACCATGCCATTGTAGCACATGTCTTGTCCTGGTTGTGTGTGTATGTGTGGGGGGGGGGGGTGCGTGCATGCATGCAGGCATGTGTGAATGCATATGTGTGACTGAGGTTGTGCCTTCGTGCTCATATCTGTAAGCTCTCTTCTACACATACACTTTGCTGTTCTCTGTATCCCTGTACAGTTGTGCCATTCATTGTGCTAGCTATAACAGCCGGTGTCACACGATTGGATGCCTATGGACATGACGTATAGTAAGTTACATGCATCTCATAGAGCTCTGCTGTAGACTAAGGTAGTGTTCTAACATGGCACGAGTTACGCCAGCAAGCAGAATCAATTTGATTCCAGGCCTTCGCTCACTCTACACCACTCCTTGCTCGCGGAGATTATAACAGCGGCAGGCATAATGCCTTCATGGCAAGGTGTCACATGCGTACAAGTATGACACATTGGACTCATTATTGATTTAGCATTCCTACACTGTGTTACCCTGTGTTGTTGTTACATTCAGCTGCTGGATCCGTGACAGGAACATCTTCTACGCTGGCTTTGCCACTCCAATGTGCGTCTCCCTCGTGTACAACATGTTGGTGCTGCTTGTCGTGCTGAAGACCTTGCGCAACAGGGCCGAGTCGGTTTCCACCCTTCAAAAGTCCGGCGGAAAGCTGTACCTGCTGCGCGTCACCACCTCGCTGAGTCTGCTCCTGGGTGTCACGTGGCTGCTAGGTTTGCTGTCGGCATTTGTAGATCACGTGTCAGTGCAGTATGTGTTCTCCATTAGTAACACACTTCAGGGCCTGTTCATCTTCATCTTCAACATCGCCATAGCGCCCGATGTCAAGAAAGAGTGGGTATCAGTACTCACCAGTGGGCGTGCATACCTTGGCACTGCGGCTGCTTCAAACGCCAGGCACAAGGAAGGCTTGCGTGGAGTACTGGTGGGAAGGTCCAGGGGTGGTGTACATTCCGCTCGGCACTCTGGCGTCAATGTGTCACCACCCTTGGCACCGTCACAGCGATACTACCGGGAACAGCAGCTGGGCCGGCTTACGTCAGACCTAACCATGTACAATGCGTCCGTCCGGTCGGATGATGGAGATGAGCATGGCTGTCCACGCCGCTACTCTGTTCTGAGTGTGGCGGACTTTGAAGAGATGAGTGGATTGACACGTAGTGATAGTCTCTCATCATTCGTTGACTACTTTGATTTTGATGTGATCTACAACGAGGCTGCAATCTTCAACTTGACCAATGGACGTCATATGGATTCTATACCCGACGTACCAGATAGCGTGGTCCTTGATGTCAGCGATGGTCAGCGGAATCAAAACACTCTCGGCCAACCTCTGCAGATGTTACTTGATAGTGGACAGCAGCGCAGTGACACGAGTCACCAGAATGAAATGACTCCTCGCAATCAATCCACGAGTGGCAATGTGAGAAGTTCCAGCGCTAACAAGGTGAAGTCACGACGACCGCCAGTACATGTCATCATTATCCGACTCTAACTCCAAATGCATTAGACTGTACGGATGATGAGTCTGAAACTGCAGCATGCATCTATAAAAATTACTGCATCTTTACCAATTACGTCTTCTAATTTAGAAAAGGGAAGCCTCGTCAGTGATCATCGGGAAAGTCTCGTACATGTACACTCATACAAAACCTCGTTATCTGAAAGGCTGTTTATCTACACAGAATCTTATTGTTCATGAATGCTCTGAGTCTTGGTGTCAGGATCACACAAGGACTTAGGTGACATACCAGCCATATCTCAGCTACACTCCAATGTTGGCATAGCTTCATGATTCATTTCCTACTCACAATAAGTGTCAAGTAAAGTCGGCGGAATAGCGCGAGCTCCGGTGTGGGGAGCAAACCCTTTTTTACTCACAATAAGTTACGTTTAACCTCTAATGCTATTTCCATACACGTGTGGGGCTTTTAGTTGCTTTCTTCTACGCATACTGTCACATTTGCTAACATGTCTTCATTAGCTGCCACTTTGCTTCCGCCTTGACACCTTGCATGCAGCGTTGTGCATTTCCCATCGTCTTCATTCTTTATTTCCGGCTTTCCACTGGTTTTTTTTATTTGAATCATAACTTTCTTGCCATCGGTGCTTGCCATCGGTGATGGCAAGAAAGTTACAATTATGATTCAAATCAATCTACTTCGAAGTACAATCATATCATGAATTCAATCTAGCAAGTAAGTAAGCCAACAAATCGTGGAGGGGGGCCGGGTTATGCATCGTAGTTTCATCTACCGTACTTATTGGAGCACAAATGGAAATATCCATCCCTCCTCTGGCGATGCCCTTGAATCATACTATGGCGTCTGGTTTGTGTCTGCAGTACCTATGTAAAAGGAATCAAGGGTACTCGTACTGAGCTGTTTGGTGGCGTAGTTGGCTGCTATAATTATAACATACATCCGTGTGTGTGTGTGTCTCTCTCGCATGTACAAAAGGTAGCTCTGAGCTACTTCGGAAGGGCCTTGAAATCTTTTTTGCAGAAGAAGTGCGATCCTTGAGGGAAAATACTATGTCTGTAAACGTCTTTCTCACCTCCAAGGAGATTTAAGATACCCGCTAACAATATTACTAGAAGTTAGTTAGCTATGTCAAGTACATACATACATTTCATGAACATGTGCTAGATGTAGGACGGTCAAGGCTGATGACGTTTTGAAGCTTCGCTACCATTACGAGCAATCGGTGGAAGGATGTTGGCGGCCTTCTTTCTCCCACGCCTGACGCTGGAATTGATGGCGGGAAGTGAATCTCTACTTCCTCCCAGCACATCTACATTTGGGTTTGATTGCGTCGTCGTTGGGCCATAGTCTAGTTCAGCATTGCCCACTGTCAGCGGCAGGCCATTTCTCGCCAAGCGTTGAGCCAGAGCGTCTATATTTGGCGCGCTTACAGACTTGCGGGCTCCGCGCATAAGTATTGGTCTGGGCGTGTCTGCGGAACTTCCGCTGGTACGCTTCATAGCATAGCCTCCAAGAGGCTGTACATGTCGGCGCGTGGACTGCTGGGATGTGCGGTGTTGAGACTGAGAAGGCGTGTTGAGAAGCTTGCTGCCTCTCAGTCCCGCGCGTGCTCGACCTCTGGCGGGAGAGTTAGGCAGGGATTGAATCTCACCGATTGGAGGCAGTCTGGAAACAGCATCCCTACCTGGCAACATCTTGGAATGGTAGGTGACAGCAGGCAGGCCAAGTGTGTCGAGTATCTCACTGTCACTACTGTCATTCTCCCTGTTCAGGTCTTCAGGTACGCTTTGTGCGCTCCGTATGTCTACACCCATGTCCAAGGCTGACGACGTATCATGGTCCGGGTGCAGGGTACCATAGGCGGTGGCCGACAGTCTAGTCGCACGGAGTAACGCTGCTCGAGCCAGCGGGTTTGAGCCTTTCCCTCTTGACTGGATGCCAAGGCTTGTGTAATCCGGCTCGCCTGGTATTCCAGGGGAGACTCTGCCCACACCGAAATTTAGCCATTCGACAATATTGCTGGGGCTGGCTGGTGGTGGATGAGGCCCGTCGTATTGACTGTCCTCTGTTTGATAGCCTATCACATCTGCCAGGGATATGTCCACCTGCCCTGACTCCTCCTGTTCGTCCTCTTGCTCCTCCGTTTTGCTGCTGCCAATCGTCATGCACCCAGTGCCCCTAACAAGTGACGACAGGGAACGTGCATTGCGCATTTTGTCCTGTGGTGCCCTGCTCTCAGTGCTATCTTCCCTTGCATTGTCTTCAGGTGAAGTTACTTCCAGATGCAGAGCATCACTAGCAAACTCGGATCTGCGCATGCCATTCTTTTCCTGCTGCAGAAGCCTCTCCCCGAAATTCTCCAACAGCGATGACGTGGGCAAACTTTTCGATGGTGAATCGACCCTCCCTTCAGACCTACGGAGTCGGCCACGAGCGGGTGGCGGTCCGGGCGGGGGCTTTGGCTTAAACTCAAGCTCTTCCTCGCTCCGTGCATCCTCTGGTTGTGTCTGTGGTAACTGATCGTTGCTGGCGCGTTCAGGCTCATAAGCTGGTGCAGCCGACTGAAGAGCTGACGATTTTGCTGCAGTGCGTGACTGGGATGACCGTCGTGCTGGCTTCATGTAGGCTGAGGAGGGCGAGAGTAGCTCAGCAGCCACGTCCAAGCTCGGACTCTCACATTCCTCCTGTGACGACAAAGACTGTGATGACGTTGACGGAGTGTGGAGAACTATGGTGGGGGCCGGTGGTTGCGGAGGGCGCGCGGGAGTGGAAATGGAATTCTGTGAACCGGTTTGCTTGAGCTTCTTGGCGGACTTAGGGACGGGACGTCCCAGCGGCTGTGGAGTGGGCGACGTCATAGGTCGTCCTGTAATCGGATTTACATGTGGGGAGCTCGGTCTCCCAGGGGCCCGAGGAGGTGATCTGGAGCCACTTTTGGTTGTGCGTAATGACTGTCTCTGAGGTCGTTGTGGGTTGTAGGGGACTGGGCGACACCTGGCCAATACACGCGGTGGTAGCTTGTTGGATGTGGTGTCCCCCTCGTCATCAGACGGCGCTAGCTGGTCGGTCGAATGAAAGGTTCCCAAAGCTGCTTGGACTGCTTGCTGCTGGCGAATTGAAGCAGGTATTGGCGAGCTGGATCGAGGTATTGCTACGGAGGTTGCGCGTAGCATAGACATAGAGGCTGGACGTGATGACGCCGATGATGATGATGATGATGATGATGATGATGGGCGTGGAATGGCTCGAGGTGCTGATGGTAAGGATGTTGCGACGCTGGTCCTGCCGCCCTCAACTTCAGAACACTTATCACCCATATTTATACGCAATCCAGTATAATTATAACAGAAGATTCCGTTGTCACGACAAAAGCTGCACCTCAAACTCCTAGAGTGTAGCGGGTGATTTTGGCGCGAAGGCGGTCAGCAGGACCTGTGGTGTCGGCGTCGGGTATCCAGCCACTCCCTGCACAGCGAGCAGTCAACCTTTCTTTTATCAGCTACATGCGCTGCCCCCGAGGCGAGTGGTCTGTGCAGAGTCTGACACGCTGGCCACTGCTCGTCTCCCGCTGCGCAGTGCAGTGAAAACAACTCGACTGTTCTGCAGGAGCTGTACACAATAACCAGTTGCAAGATGTCTAAGCAGAAGATCCCTGATAATGTACTGGATCCTGATCCAGAGTCCCCGCAGTTACTATTCCATGATCCCAGCACACGAAGTAAAGCACGACTACTTTCTTGCAAAACAAGTCTGCCGCATTCGACAACATTGCACTACTAGCTGTCTATTCAACTGAGAGCTGCAGTTGATGTTTTCCCTACCGAATTGAGGCATCGTGTATTGTGTATGATGGGCGCGAAGTCGGAAGTGTGAAGACTGCATGACATTGTACAAAACTAACACTGTCTGATAGTACATGATTGTAATAGTAGTACTTTGTACTTGGCACCAATCATCAGCGGACCATGCTGAACAGTCTCTACAGCGGAAGTGCGACTACACGCTACACAGCAGACTACCAGCAATGCTAGCACATCTAAATGTACTATGTTAGTATGTAGTCTCCTGCATGCTGTATGACTGAGTATGTACTTCTTTACTTGGTTCAGGACAGTGTACACACCACTGTGTGGTTTGTGCTATTCATGCACTGCATGCTGCATGCTGCATGCTGCAGTTGCCTTACGATGTATTGCACATACGTGTATTGGTCGGCAAACTGAAGCGGCGAAGGCTAACACTCTCCTGTTGAAGTGACCTGGACATGGAGGAGCCTGCAGGACTTCGTCGAGCGTTGGAAACTGTTCATGAAAATCACGTTTGTCGATTGTGCGGGGCCTGAACGAGGATGAAACCGTGGTCCCCGGCCAATCCCACATGGCCACCGGCACCAGTTTTCCACCATGCTGGACACCTGAACGCGCCCATGGCATTGGCAATACAAACTCATGGCAAGGTTATTCCTGGGCCACTTCCCACTCTGACGTGGGTAATGTGCACCTAGGCCTACCAGGCCGGCATGAAGGAAAAACAAACTTCAGACAGTAAATGTCAGTAAGACTAAGAGTTACATGACATCTGTAGACCGCAGAACATAGACTAGACCATCATGCTACGCACTAGACCATGACGTCATGACACTACAATGTAAATAGACTGATCACGTGTGGTATATTTCTGGACTCTGACCTAATAGTTATACCAAGAAGTCATTGTGGTATTCAACTCTCTGCAGTGCCTGTAACCGTCCGTGTATTGTATGTGACGGAGTACAATGCGATGGCGATGACGATGTCACATAATGATGGCGTTGACAGCCGGCCAAGCAAGGCCAACTACACTACACTACAGAGTACAGTGCTGCTCATGCATGCTCATTGAAATCCAGTCGCGTCACTCAAGTACCCCGGGGGTAACAGTTACATGATTGCAAGTACAGGTCAGTTGCACCATTTCGCAGTCCTAGATCCTGTGTTCGCAGGTATCTACAATGTACTACTTACTACAGTGGTCCCTCTTAATAATCCGGCACCATTTGTGCCACGGAAATCTGCTGGATTAGGGAGGGTGCTGGATTAACACATCGGATTTACTCCTGCAATATACATGAAGAGGACATTTTGGCTACTGAAATTTGTGCTGGTTTATCGAGGGTGCTGGTTTAAGTTAAAGAGGGACGACTGTACTACCGGTACTAGCGTTAAGAGAATAAGCTTATAAAAAAATAATACTCTTGCTAGTACTACTGACCAGGGAGTCGTAAAATATCGTAATACTGACTGTACTAGGTCTAGCAGTCCTAGATCCTGTGTTCGCAGGTATCTACAATGTACTACTTACTACTGCGCTACGCCCAGCGCGTACTTGATGGATGCAACTGGATCAGGACTCTACTCGTACTGTACTTACTGGACACTGATTGATCTTACGAAAAAGAATATCGAGCGCTCACACTTCGCTGGAGCAGACACCATTACTACAGACACACATCCCTCTTTTCCATCATTGTTTGCCATGATGATGTTCTTCGCATGTACAAGTATGTGAAAAAGAAGGCATTACCTTTGTGTTGGTACATACAATGTAAATAAAAGAATTAAAAAATTCAACCGCAACGCAGAGCGATGTGACTTTTAGTCCCATCGTGATAATAAATAAGGCAGAGAATAAGTACAATGTATGGCTGGGCTTAAATTGTTGACAATGCGAAGCCATGCAGCCGCGCATAGGGTCAGTAAATACCTGGTTCCTGACCGCAATACTATTATAATAGTGATATGGATATTTATAATGCAATGACCACATGATGTCATGAATTGCAGTCTTATAACTCACAGACTCACAGTGACACCGAGCTAAATAGAGCAGCATAATAAAACATGTGAAATGTGAGATACATGTAACTGATAGTGATAGGCATGACCAGTAGTAGCACTAGTACTCCAGTCTATGCATGCAAACCAGCGCATGCAGGTGAGAGCCGGTATGAAGAGGGTATACATGATACATACTGAAAGACCACAGATTCAGGCAAGACGAAATGAGAAATAATCTTGGCTAAGGACGTGAGCATCGCCTCCGGAAGTTGTTGTTGTGTAACTACACATCGAATCTATGCAGTGGTCCGGCTAAATTGATTCTTGAACGATCAGCAAAACACCTCAGCCGATGCCCACAGGCACAGACACACGGAGTACTATACTGACCAATTTTGGATACCATCAATGTAGATCACTGAATGCGTGGTGCTGCCTGGACGAGGGCTAGTGTACAGGCACTTACTCTCTTCACTTTAGTTCAGTAACGGTCTTCTTCCGGTGTCCACTGTCCATACGTTGTGCCACTGTTACTTTACGACTTGGACCACTGGAAAGTAGTCTTCTTCTCCTTGACATTACGGAGCACAGATCCAGGCCTATCAGGAACGGTGGGCATCCTCGTGTCAGTGTCACAGGAATTCTGCTTGATCATCAGCTTCTTATTGGCCGCCGATCGCCTTGACTTCCCCGGTGGGGCGGTGCAGGGCCGGGAGGATGGCGCTGGCTTGCTTCGTTCCGACATCGTCCTTGGTGTTAGGAATCTTGTCGGGATCTGAAACTGAGCCTGTGAAAACGAACAGATCAAGACGGACAAGGTGATGCACACTTTGACTAGTAATCTGTGGCTTTTAGCTCAGTATTGGTGAATGCATGGGAGAATGGAGTGAAAGTACAAGTGCGCAGATAAGCATCGCATGAAGTACCGCAACAGAGTCTGCATGCAACTGTTGTAAATGATTTGGCTTCAGTAGTAATTCCCAGCACATGGGACCTCAACACGGGCTGATGGAGAGATAGAAAAAAGACAAGTCTGCGAAAGCACACAGACTGATTACGTTACCCGCCTCTGCTATGTAATGTGTGCCTAAGTTATGGTCTTTTCTCAAATGCCGCCACGCCATGGTTCACACAAGAATTATCTAGTTTATATGTCTACAATGTACTAGGAATGAATCGTGAAAGACTAATCCGCTTCTTCTCTGAACGCAAAACTGCTCTTGCACAGCTAGCAATGAGCTAACGAAAAGATCACTTGTCTTCTTTTTTTTAATTGCGTGTGGAATGCAGTGCCACTACGTACAGCAGTAAAGTGAACATGTCACACAGATCCTATCAGTGGAATTGAACCCCATTGCAATCACTGTGTTCTGCTACATTGTAGTGCGAGAAACTTGTTTTTAAAAGTCACACGTTCCACCGCCGGTGAGTGACAACTACTTGAAATACACGCTATCACATCTACGCCACGCGCGAAATCAGTAAGCACCAAGAGCATTTTGTAGAAATCTCTCCGTGGTTCGTCTCAGCCAGAGTACCATTCCCTCCAGATCATACTTCATAGGCCTTCAACACACTAAAACCAACATCAGCACTTTACTGATTCATGTCGACTAACCGCAAACGTGAGGAGGGAGTATGGACGGTGCAGAGAGAACCAGCGCCAGAACAGCCGAAGAATCAGACCCTTGACCAGTAGCAGGACTGAGTAGATGTCTCTCACGGGATTCCTCGTCAAGACTTTCTACGCATGTGGGCTCTTAGTCAGAGATATTGCTGCACATCAACAATAATTACATGTGACACTCTCTGGGGGACAATAGTGACCTGTGAAGAGGAGAGCGTTCTTTCCTTTTCCCGCTTCCACAACTCCTCGCCTATTTATGTGCCTTCCAGCCAGGACCTGGCACAAGACGAGAGCAGATGGTCGTAGCCACTCGTGTATGAACGGTCGTGTCAAGACTCAAGAGAATGGCCGGCCGTGTTCGTGGGTACCACTGTACGTGTGGGTTGGTGCAAATGACTAACCTGTACCTGTCTTGAAGACTTGAGATACAAAACATACAAGAGTGTTTGTACTCTGCGTTCGCTTGACTACACGGTCACCTACACAGTTCACGAACCATACCCCCGCAGTTTGATGGACTGGTGATACTGCAGTCGGCACAAAGTAACAGATGCAGGGACTATCTCGGGGATCGGGAGCGACTCGGTTACGGGTAGACTACAAAAACAAGTACAATGATGATTATGTAGGGTAGGCAAACAACTGCGCTGTGACTACTGCTAGTAACTGCATCGATTCAGCAATGCTGCAAGACTGGCACTGCAGCATTGTCTTGTGCATAACAATGTAGTACAGGTAGGACTGACGCAAGACTGCGTACTACTAGCATTGAGATAGTAAAGCCTCTTGTAAAGGGCAAAATTATTGAGATAGTCGCCGAAGGCACCACACATACAATCATATTCCTGAGAAGTCACAATAAGTACCAGTAGTTGTCAATTGTCACCTGATCGCCTGATTCTTCCTTTTCTGTTGTTGTTGTTTGGCTTTATTTAAAGTGGAGTTCCAAAACAGGCCTAAACCTAATGACAATGGTCCCACTGATAATAAGAGAAAAGAAAAATATATAATAATAATAATAAGCGGACAAACAGAACCAAGAAGAAGATACAGCTGTAGTTAGATAACTAATATGAGCACGGCAGCAGGGGAAAAAAAAGTCACAAGCACGGCAACCGGGAAGAAAGGAGTGAGTGAGTGAGAGTGAGTGAGAGAGAGAGAGAGAGAGAGAGAGAGAGAGAGAGAGAGAGAGAGAGAGAGAGAGAGAGAGAGAGAGAGAGGAAGTGAAGCAGATGAGCTCATCCTAGTTGGCGGTACTGCCTAACAGAAAGGCCAGGCTTAGCGATTTGAAAGTGGAGCGCTTTCTTTCGAGGCGTGCTGTGTCTGGGAGCTGGTTCCACAGGATAGCTCCAGCATGGCTAATGCGCTTAGCTGAGGATGCAGTGGGGGAGACAGGAATGATGAGTAACTTGCTGCTCCCTCCTCGTGTTCGGAGAGAGGGACTACGGGTGAAAAAGCTTGCAAACAGAGTACTTGAAGATTTGTTCAGGCAGCGCCAAATGAATACAAGAATGTGCATGTGGGTGTATATGCTGAGGGTATGGGCATTCATGCGTTCAAGTAAGGGAGCCGTGTGAGTGCGAGGGGCTGCCCTGCACACCGAGCGAGCCGCACGTTTGAACAAACTATTTAGGCGCTTATCCTGATAAGACGATAAGAAAGGGGCATAGGCAGCAGATGCATAGTCAAATTCTGATAGTATAAAGGACCTGAAAAACTGAACACGGCAAGAAAAAGGCAAACATGCTGCACTTCGATTTAGTAGCCCAATCTTAGTGGCAACGCGGCGTGCAACATGGCTTGTCATGGTGTTCCAGCTCATGTCTGAGTCGAAATGTAGGCCAAGATACTTGGCCGTTTTCACAACAGGCAGCGTCTGCCCATTACAAATGACATGCAGCTCAAGTGCTTGAGATGGGGATGGGGGAATAGGCAATATCTGTGTCTTTCTTTCATTAAGAATTAAACCACGGCCCTTCAGCCAGGTGGCCAGGTGCTGAACAGCAGCTGAAAGGTGTGCAGAAACAGCTTCCGCAGACTCCCTGCTACATCGTATAGAGATGTCATCAGCAAACTGGATTGCTCCCACATTAAACGGTGATAGTTCTTCTGCTATGCCGCGGGCATAGACAATAAATAGCAGTGGGCCCAGTACCGACCCCTGGGGGACACCTGAGTAACTGGTGTACGGGAGACTTCTAGTCTGGCCAGCCTGAACGTACTATTCTCTATCAGAGAGGTAATCCACCAGCCAACAGAGTGCCGTGTCGCAGATGCCAAGTTCGAACAGATCTTGCACAAGAGTTTGATGTTTCACTTTATCGAATGCCTTTGACATATCAACAAAGGCTACACCTGTGTTGAGTTTGTTCATACGGGCCTCACAGATACCTTCCACAGCTAGCACTAGTGCGTCGGATGTAGAGTGGTGGGATCGGTAGCCGAATTGAGTTGGCGGGAATAAATTGCTCTGGACTAGATATCGTGTGAGTTGCTCGTGGACTATCCTTTCCAACACTTTGGATGCAATCGATAACAAGGACACTGGTCGATGATTCTTTGGCATGCTCGGATCTCCGCCTTTGAAGAGTGGCGATATCCTAGCACTTTTCATCTGGGCAGGAAATATGCCCTCTCTCAGGGACTTGTTAAAGATCAAAGTCAGGGATGGCGCCAGTACGTCTGCATGTGCGCGGAGAAGGGCTGCAGAAATGTCATCATCACCGCTGGACTTGGCCGGATTTAAACGTTCGAGGAGCTTCCTCACTCTGGCAATAGACACTGGCGCAAAGGCTGTCAGATCAGTGCTTGAGGCGGGCCCGTAGGGAAATGAGAGATGCACTGGGCGGCTGGCGTCCTCTGCTATCTCTGCAAAGGTGTTTCGGATGGCATCAACAGAACATTGAGGTGGCTGAGATTGTCGATGTTTACCACTCAATTCTTTGATCGTGTGCCATGTCTGTTTGGTATTGCCAGACGCAGCTCGAAACTTGGATTGGTAGTAGGTCTCTTTCTGTTGCCTATTATAGCTGGTAGCTTCCCGCCTGGCAGCCTTGAAAGCTGAGTGGGAATGTTCTGTTCCATCACTAAGCCACCTCCTATGGAGCCGGTTGCGCTTGGTCAAGAGGTGTAATAACTGGCGGTTCATCCATGGTACTGATTTTTTCTTGCGTCGAGGGCTTGGTGCAAGAGGAGCATGTCTGTCTAACACTTGTAGAAAGCGGCTGGCCCACTCAGTCCACATGACAGTTGGGCTTCCGTCAATTTCACAAAAATCCTGTTGGACCAAATCTGCCTTGAACTGGTCATGATTTATGTTTCGGTAGTGTCGCCGTAGCCCAGAAGTTACAGTACTTCTTACTGGGCTGAGTTGAAATTCACTGAGAACTGCTGCATGGTCACTGAACGCGATGGGGATAACAGTAGCCATATTTAGAGGGTCGAATGTATTGTAAAATTGATCCAGTGTGGTTGGTGCAGAGTTTGCTGAGAACCGAGTCGGCTGGTGAACTCCGGGATATAAACTGTAGCTGGCCACGAGGTCAGATAGATAATGAAGCTGTGGATCTGGAGGTGCTGTTGGATTGGTGTTTATGTTGATGTCGCCACAAATAATCACGTTCTTCTCGGGCATTATAGCTGAATGGAGATGGTCGTCCAGGCAGTCCCAGTATCGAACTGGCTCAGATGGAGGTCGATAAATGGTTCCTATCAAACAAGTTCCAGATTGGCAATGGATTTCTCCCCAGCAGCTCTCAATTGCCGATTCTGTGAGGTCCATTCTTGGCTTGACCAGGAGGGATGCCTTGGAGTACAGGCAGACTCCTCCACCGGCCTGATCTTTTCTGTCTGAGCGCAGTATGTTGAAGCCATCCAAAGCTATCTCTCCATCAGACACGGTGTCGTCTAGCCAGGTCTCGTTTACACAGATGATGTCAGGACTGTGAAGGTCGGCAAGCCATGCCAGCTCTCCAACTTTGTTCCTCAGGCTCCTAATGTTCAGCAGTAAAATTCGAATTGTTGGAGTTTGCGTTTGCATATTCAGTTCATGAGCAGCAGGGTCGTTGCCTAATCTTCTTCCAGTCATTGCACAGATATATTATCCACATCCTGACTTAGAGATGCAAATGCGTTGCCAACAGTGACACTAAACTTCGCAGCTTGCGTCTCGGGCGGCGAGTCACGCTGATAGCCCCGTGATTTCTGGCCTGGAGTCCGGGCCGGTGCTCCACAGGTGTCATCTAGGATATCGCAATCCACGCCGTATCCGCTCTTACTGTCGTCCGTGCGGCTGCTGCTGCTGTTGGTGGTCGTGGTGCTGCTCTGCGCTGTTTGTTGATCTCCACTGGCATCAGACTGGGTGTACTTATCGAAGTTCCACTCTCTTGTGTACACAGGCCTTGGCCAGAAGCGCTTGTTGCTGAGAAACGATTCGTCCGCTGCACTGGCAACAATACGCGCAGTGGAGGATTTTTCTTTTTGAAATATTTTTACGTCAAACACTTGGACATTGTGGTCAGCCTCAGCTGCTCTTGCTGCGATGAACTCCTTCAGCTGGTCTGCAGTAATTGCATGCATCAGATTTCCGACAAACAAGACTCTCTTCTTCGCTGTGGGTTTGGTGGAGGTGATGAGTCGCCATGTGGCGTCCGAATCCTCACTCATCTCTTCAAATTTCGGCAAGCGATCCACACGTGGCGGGGTCAACTCCGAGCTGGGTCCGGGTGTACCATGTGTACGGGAGTTGGACGGCTTGTTGTTTGAGCTGTCAACATCGGATCTGACACTGCTAGTCAGGTCCATCTCGGGATCAATGGGTCGTGAACTCTCTACGGGTACGGCGGACTGTGAACGACTTTCTGTGCCTGTACTACGTTTCTTTCGATTTCGGCGCTGCCTCTGGCTGGTTGTTTCTTGCTCTCTCTCTAGGTTTGCAATGGCGGAGGAGTTTGATTTACAAGACGCACACGTAACATTGCCGATGTCCAAATTTTGGCACAGGCGAGTGTCGGCCAGGTCCTCTCTCAGCTGGGAAAGTTCGGAGCTCAATCCACTAATCCTTCGTTGATATCGTTTCTCCTGGTCCTGAAGTTGGCTTTCAAGACGAGCTAGAGTTCTCAGCACTTCTACAACATTGTGTTCGATGCCAGGCAATGAGCGAAGCTGTGTATGGACCTGTTCGGCGGTCACCAGCTGCTCAGTGTGATCTGGGCTAGCCATCCCACCCAGGCTGTTGGGGCTAGTCCCCAAAAGCTACCTAAAAACTACGGAAAAACGGGAGCCTCAATACACGCAACCTACTACACCCCTTACACACAAAAAAAAAAACTGTTGAAAGTGTTGTGCTTTTGTGGCTCTATTGTTATTAGCAAACGTAAACAGATGAAGCCA